CCTTGAGCAAAGGAACTTGCATGCTTTCGTGGCTCTGTCTGGCCCACGCCCTTTGCGTTTGCGTCCTCATCCTAACGATACCGCGGCTTGGGGCTCGCCATTTCTATGCGTCAGAGAACTCGCTGTCGCGCGGAGGCAGTTTGTGAGCAGCCATCACAAGCGAGATAGACTGCAATTTCATAGGGAAAACAGTGTAGACAGAAGAGTTGGCTGTTCTCTAGGTTCCGAAACATTACACATTCCGTGAGGCACGTCATGCACAGACCAGCCTTTGTAGTATTGTCAGCTTAGACTCTGCGGGCTGCTTAACCGGATCGTTGTCTTGCCTCCTTCCAGCTTATCCACTGTCCCAGTCTCGAACTGGTTCGGGTCAGGGGTGGGCGCTGCGCTTGAAGGAATGGATGCACCTCTGACTTATGATGAGGGTGGGTGAGTGGCACGCCCGTTTCGACAAGGTCTTCGTCTGTGGCAGCATCAACGAGACACCTCAAATGACAAAACATCGGTAATACAGCGGCGTCATGAGCTACGCCGATCATGCCGGCCGAATAGCTGGGCGACGCCGCGCGCAGGGGCACTGCTGTTCCGTCCACTGTGCTCGAATTCATGAGCTCGGCCAGGTCATTAAGATCCCTGCAACATCAAACGACCCTGTTCGCCATGGACACTATCCCCCGTGACCGACACGCGAATGAGGGTTATCTTACCCGCGTTTTCCCTGCCAGACTGCCAGACAACCGGATGGATGGAGCGGGCCAAAGTGGTTGCATTTGCGGATACAGCAAAGATTTGAGGTACCGGCCCCCAGACATGTGATGTAAGAGACGCAGTCAATTAGCACGGCCTCCGCAAGGCCACAACGGACGCTGCCACCACTGAGGTGGTGTTGGGAGTCGTCCAGTCATCGGGAAGTACGTGAAAATAGCGACAAGCATCATAACTGGTGAAGGGCCAAACAAGCCTGGCTCCTGGCAAGCCTATTACTCAGTCAGGGTCAGAGAACAGCGGTAATGGGACGAGAGGGGTGTAGGCGTCGTAATATCTCAGCCTTCAAGCGAGAAAACTGGACTTACATCTGCTGACGGATTGCATGCGCATCAGTGGGCGGCGAATGAATGAGGATGCGCCCTCCCCAAACGCCCCTGTGGCATGTCTGTTGCGTTGCATGTTGAGATGTTTCCCCATAGAGGATGCATAGTTCGAGTCTGATTCTCAGCGACTACGCGAGGCCTGCCGACAGGGTTTCAAGGGTCTTTGCCTGGTACTGCTTGTGTCCACCTCATTCATGTTGAATCCGACTTTAGCAACGTGCAGTTGCTGATTGTCAAAGGACTTTTAGATCTTGACCTAGGCTTGACCCACCCAAGTCCAATGGCGCCGGCGCCGGTCTGCGACGGAGGAGCAAGCCCGGTGTGGCAGTATCCCTTCTTACTTGAGCCTGGTTCTTAGACACACTCAGCATGGCTCGTCCGGAAATTCGGGCATCGGTTGTAGCCTCCGTGATTGTGAACTGAGAAACGGCAGGGAGGAGGAGCAGAATCTCATTCGTCAGTCGGGCTTCGTCGACAGGCGCTCAGTATTCCTTGCTCAGCCCAACACATCGTTCCCTTCCCGGCTGCGACATGAGACCGAGATCGTGAAGAGGCCGTGTTCATCCACTCCACACGTTCATGTTTGCTGTTGAGAAATGGTTCGCTCTGTGTGGTTAAGGCCATTATGTGTACGAAGTACGTATCGTGAAAGCAAAGTACAATTCTCTGTGATTCAATCTCAGCCTCGTCATCGTCAAACAAAACTTCTTGGTAAGAAGCTTCGTCTCAGAGTAGCGGAAAATGGCGATGTTTCCCTTCTGGAATGCATACTTCGGTCCTAGGGAAACGCGCGATGGTTGTGAAAGTGAGGTCAAAGACTGTGAGCCTTGACCAGCCAACCTTCATCGCACCACGCAAACGAACCAGCGCGGAAATCAATCATGCAATCTTCCCATTGACTCTGCATGTAACCCTGATTGTAATCGAAGGGGTGTGCCCATATACTTCGCCTTCCGTTTTGTCGCCTAGGAACTGCCACTGCGTAATACTTCTTTGGCGTTGCGAAGAGATGCTCCCCACACAATGGGAAGCGGTGGCATAAGCCACACCTCCTGTGGGCGGCCTTCAGGTCAACTTCGAAGGCATGTCACAAACAGGGGTGTGACGGCACTACTAACTTTTGTTTTGAACCGAATCGCGAATTTGCCATCGCCGCACAGGTTTCGTGGCGAGTCGCAACCAACTCCAGGGCTATACTTCCGCTCCTACTGGTCCATAGGGACGGTCGTTAGGACTTCGCAGCCTAATGAGGAAGTCAACATCAAACTTGTGCTTTCTTCGTTCAACGGGAACTCTCATTGCTGACGCCAAATATTGAAGAAGGTAAGTACGGCGTAACGCTGCCCACGGCGGTGCGGCCACCCATGTGGCTTGTCAGTCGGCTAGCGCAGACTGTCGGTGTGGTGCTCGGTCGGTCGATCGGTGGAAACAAAACTGACTGTTTGATGGACGCCTTGAGTGTGTGAATAGAAGCTTTCCCGGGTAAAAAGGTTGCAGACCACATGTCGCCCACTACCTTAGCTGGGATCACGACACGGAACTGGGTTCTGCAGTCTGACCACTGACCCCATATTGCGTGCACCGTTGTCTAGCATGCGGAACGTCAGTGTGATGCGCAACCACATAGCCTTTCCTTTCAATTTACCTGCCGGGCTCAATGAGTATCAACCTCAATTTAGTGGCGTGGGACGGATACGAGACTTTGAGCAGTCGCATTCGGGACAGTGTATCAAATTCGACAAGGAAGATCTCTTGCTACTATGTACACTTCAAAGGCTTTGTCGGTGATGAAGTATCCGTCTATCCGCAAAGCAGTATCTCGACATGCCACCCCGACCGGGCTTGAGATTTGTGAAATTTTGTAATAATCGTCGTCGGTCGGTGTTTGGAGGAGCTGCTTCTGCGAACATACAAATACTGCTCCCGGTCTTGGCTTCCTGACAGACATAATGCATGAGTCGGTCTCTTTGCGTGGGCCATGCGATCAAGCGGCGGAAGACTGGTGGCGTGTGTGGTTTGCAGTCCTCTATTGCGCCCATATCCGTACCGTTTCCGAATGGAGGTCCGCCAGTTACCTATGCAATCAATATCTTGGTTAAGCCGGAGTCGCAAGATTATTGCTTCCTCGCGAAACAAGAGCACACCTATAACAACGCTTGGGAGCCAGTGCGAAGGGGTCGAAAATTCAACCACAATTGGTCAACATCGCTGTGTAAAGCGGGCTACCGAGCCTTCTAGGGTGGGAGGGGCGTGTCTGAAAGATCCAGAACACTGTATTAAGTCTCGCAACCTGAAGGTTCCCATACTCCATATCCGATCTTTACGGCGCAAGTGTCTGGACCGCCGGGCGGCAGCCAATTAAATATCATAATCGGTCGCACATTTTGGCTACTTCAACGGTGCGACAATGTACTCAGCACAAGTAAAGGATTTGCCAGTTGTCGCCAACAAGAAGGGTCAATCAGGGATCAGGGACTGGCTCGGGGCTCCGTGTTTCCCGCCGTGAAGGCCGAAGTGTCCAGAATTGACGACCGCTGAGATGGCCGACTTGGCGTTGCCAGTTTTTGCCAATAATCGGGGCATTCTGAGGCATTTGGAACCTTGATAGCGCTGTCCAAAGGAGTCCCCGAAGCAGAGCCAGTCAATTTTAATGAATGTAATCGCAAGACTGTGATACAGCCCTTTGCCGTCCAAATCGGATGGCATTGTCAGAGTATTTGACGTCGGGGCTTTTGGCCATATCGAAGTCACCGAACCGGCCGGCGGGGATGGAGCGGCTAGGGATGGATGGTTTGCTGGGCAGGCCGTGATCTGGCCATCAGCCACGCTTAAAACATCTCAGAACCTCGCAGAACCAGCCGTGCCAGTATAGGTAATGATGGTCTGGAGAGGCCAGTGACTTGTGCCTCGGGTGCCAGAACGAATTAGCGTTGCGTTCATGGCACACATTGTCGAGCGAAAGCGGCCGGGGTGTCCCTAGCAATTCTCGCGTATCCGTAGATTTGGGTGCGAACTCTTTGCTAACATAGTGCGAAGTTCGCCCAGAATTTGAACGATTTGTCCCGGCAGCCGCCCTGCCGTGCTGCCGCCAAGAGCGACGCCTGTGGCGCTGTGTGGCAGATTCGGGAATACTAAAGTGTGTGGAAAGCAAAGTATGCTGGTGTGTGCTGCGGCGAGCTGAGACTCATGCTCTCCTAGACATCTGGGATTAGCAATTGCATCGACCAGGACTCTTATGCTGTTACTCCACCTCGAGGCAGCATCGCGAGATGCCAAAAATGAAAGTCAACCGCCTGGCACAGTGCTATGCCTACAATCCAAACAATGGCCCGTTCCAAGGCATCATTTATGCGTATGGCAGTCGTACAATGCGTGTAGTCGATGTCGAGCGCAGTATATTCATCACGTGAATGCTGGAGTGAGTAGTCCAGTGCTCCTGTGCGTGCCAATCTTCGAGCTTACAAGTGTATGTTATCTGCGGCCGAAACAGGTGCTTCAAAGCTTAGAATATCAGAAGGCCTCTCAGTAAAGAGATCTTTCACGCGGAGTAGCCAGTCGTGCAGGTGAGACAGACAGGCCATGAAATGCAAATTGAACCACCCGTCTACCTTTACCGTACTGTGTAGGTATTGGGCAGACTTGCAGGGAGTAGAGGGGAAGGAGGGTGTGCTTGATTGGCGGGCGAGCTTGCAAGAAGGCAAGTATCGAGCCTCGACGAGAGTTGAACCGACCCTGAGCAACGATCGCCCAAGGCCCCGTCTAGCCCCATTCCTTCTGCAAAGTGTTGGCGGTGGTTTGGCAATCACCAGTTGCAGTGTCATTTGTGTGTGTGTGTGTGTGTATGGTAAAACACACAGATACTGAGCATGTGGTGAAGAGGCAATGTAACTGTAAAGCGAGGGTGAATCGATGGACAAGATAATCCCTTTGATGGCATGGCTCGTTCTGGTGACGTCCGCCTGGCTCGAAGGTGGAGGAGCGGTGCCATGCTGTCTGTCTCACACACGACGTATCCGTACAGGGGCGATAGCATGAAGCCAGCCCTGACTGTTTGAAAGTGCTTGAACGCTGGAGCTGGCGGGGGGTCGATGTGCACGAGACTTAGGCCAGCGAGCCCATCAACCGCGGCGTCTGGGAGTACCTAGCTTGGTCCGCGGCCTGGATAACGCAACGCGGCACAGGCAAACGACATCGGTCCCTGCTGACTCGATGGCCTGGTGACTTGTTCCATGTCTTTTGAGGGGCAATAGGCACGACAGGGTATAGTGGCTGTGATGGTCGCCGAGGGGTAATGTTGGTTGGTGGTGCTGGTTCAGATGCTGGTCATGATGGTGGAGGCGCGTAGGTATTTGATTTTGGATTCTTCTTTGCAGGTGGCCGACTCTTTGGCTAGGCAGTGTCATCATCACTCCAGATGCCCATACTGCATGCTGAATATAATACCAGGCCATCGAGGCATGGCAGTCGATGAAAGTAAAGTAGGTTGAAAAGGTGGGGCGTTGATGTTGATGTCGAGGTCATCGTCTGCGCCTAAAGTGATGTAAAAAGAGAATGATCAAAGGAAGACGAAAGAAGTTGCTGCCTCGGCTTCACCCGCAGCATCTGTTAGGAAGACCTGAGGCAGGAGGAACTCAAGCTCCACTGGCGCAGTGTCGTTAGGTTCTTTCCAATATGTAAGTGCTCCGTTCCTTGCACCTTCTGCTGCAGCATCCTCGACATGAAAATTAAGTCCAGTTTGGGTGGTGCAGGCGTCCTCAGCCTGTCACCTTCGGACCTTCCTTCTCCCATCTCTAAGTGCCTACTTACGGATAGTTCGTAGCTCCGTACCTCGTGGATACCTTACCGACCAATGTCATTTGGGGCAGGGACTTGAGGCAGGCAGGCAGGCAGGCAGGCAGGCAGGCAGGCATCTGGCAGGTGCACAAAAAGCCTAGGCAGCGTAAGGGAAGAGGCATGAGAGGGCCTGCCAAAGGGACATTCAAAGAAATATGCCACGTTCCGTGCCTAGGAAGGTCCTATGTCCACAGGGTACGTCCTCCTGACCTAAGCAAGCTAAGCTTACATACCATCCAACCCAGTATCTCGAATGCTTAGGTAATACGCCAAGCTCAAATCGCCTGTCACTTCCACCATCACCATCGCCCCTCAAAGCCTGCTTCTTTCTATCCCATGCAAAACTGCATCCTCCAAGGCCCAAGCCCGTTTCCGTTTGGTATATCATATCGGCCTGTCCAAACCAAACGATATTGACGGACATGATGTGCGGATGTTCCTGGCCATCGTACATCCGCGGGAGCAGCTAGGTGCTCATGCCACCGCAGACAATACCAACACTGGTTGATATCAGCCACGACATACCGAATGTCGGACATAGAGTCGTACACAAATCGCACGCTTTTGTCTCCCGTCATCTAGCGCCACGAGTCCAAGAATCGCCAGCACTGATTGTCTCGAACCTGGCAGCCTGGCCCCAACAAGCCTCTTCGTCTTTGATTGCCCTCTTGGCTTGGCTTCAGACTCTTCTATGGGTTGATCCAGTCCCCTCCTCTACGGATACCTTTGGTCTTCGCAGTACTCCGTAAATACGGCTACCACCTGGCAGCTCTGTGGCTCGTTGTTGTATGGTTGAGCTACCCTGCATTCCATGCCGTATCTAGCTAGCCTCATCTGGACTGGACTGCCGCTATTTCAGTAGCATATTCTCAGGCTCCTCAGTCAGAAGTCCTCACTACGGATAATATCACTCACAAAGTCACCACCCCTTTCACCTCGAGCTCGGACACTACATCTGCAGTCGCCCAACCAACGACGCTGGGGGGACATGCCGCTTTCGACTACGGATACGGGTACCAACCATCTTAATCAATACGCCCCTGGGCCTCAGTAGCTGCATGACAGAGTCAGTCGGCTGCTCGCTTGCTTTTTTGTCCCTCAGTCACAATCACATCAGCCCCTTCTCAACGCTGCTCGACCTCGGCCTCGGTTGGTGTCCAGGTGAAAACTGACTGGTCGAGAGCGGAATCGATGTTCACGAAACCATTGCCATCTCTTACTCTTGACTGTACTCTTGTTACGTCTGATGAAAGCTCCATCAAAACGACTCACCTTGTGCTTGGTTGTCTGTCACACTGCGCTTGGGGTGATCGAGGTCAGCTAAGCTCTGGGGTCTAGGTATCTGTACGGATACTGGCTTTCTCGTCCGATCCTATCCCTGGTACCCTTGGTCGCGGCACTCCAGGTTGGCTTCGGAGAGTCTGCCGCACCGGAGCACCGGCCGGGCCCATCTGGCGCTGCCCTTGTGTCACGAAGTGCGTACGGAGTAGGTATTTGTCCACGGCACCCCCTTTGGCAGATCATCAACTTAAGTTTCGGGCTTCCATTGCATTTCGCCAACCAAAGCCTAGTCCGGCCAGTCTGGTGCCACATATCCGACATTGACATGGTGTCAGTCCTGCACTCACGACTCCATCTGACCTTCAGGCTTGACTTCACGTAAACATGGTTTTGATTTTCTTCCTTTCTCTTCCCACTTCGGGACACTGTGGAGATGTGTTTGACAAGTCTCAGCTGCCCAGTCACATTGATTGTTTGGCACGTTGATAAGCCGGTCATACCGGTATCAGAGGAACTAACAGTCCTCGGTGCCAGGTAGTGGAAACGGCTGTGTTCTTCTGTCACTTCCCTCTTCATGGTATGGCCAAAGCTAGTTTGGAGAGCAAGTTGGAGTCGGACAACATCTCCGCCGCGGAACAGGACCTTCCACTACCGATTGCTTCATCGCCGGCATTGTCATTAGGAAATAGCTTTACTCCGTACTTTATCATATGACTCGCAGCAGCAACAATCCCGAGCCGCTGGAATCCTAGATATGCTTCTGCACATAATGATACCTACACAGACATTCGTTAGTCGACCACCTGCTCGCCATGGAGCTGGACATGACCGGTGCCAGCGGACCATGGCAAGGCAAGCAAGCCCTCAGACCATCCCAGTCGAGTTGTCAAAGTGTTTTGGCCCCTTCCCAGGCCCGGCATGACATGCAAGTCTCGAAAATCTATCTCACTTTGCCTCACTCTACCCCAGCACCCCAGCAGCCCTCACTTTGTTGCATCTGCAAGGACAGCCGATATCAATGGAGACGGTGGCTGAATGACGAAGATATTTGCAGGCACGCTTTTGTTTTTCTCTCTCCTACTTCCTTGCTTCCCTGCTTGCCGTCAAGTCTTCACTCCATTCATTCCGGTGTACAGGATAGGCTACAGCGATACATTTGGCCATCACAAATGGACACCGCCCACCGAAAGATGAATCCCCGTTTTCACGAATTCACCCCCTATTCCCGGTTTAGTCTCGATCCTGTTTTCGTCCATGAACAAATCACAATGGGGTATCAGGCCCATCGCAGCGACTCAGGCAGATCACGCTGAGTGATGACGACTCCCCACTCGCACACAAAAGCATGTCCCCATTGGCAGTAGCGAGCCTCCAGGGCCAAGTCTCCAATCAGTTTTGCTGAGAAGAACCGTCTGTAATTTGGCGTCCCCGGAGCCTGCCCCGCGCTGATCCGACTATTGGCACACCTTCGAGTATGGCTACCCTCTGGTGGTGGTCACGGTGGTTCCTTTTGGGCTTCGCGCCTCCACATCAGTCCCCCGCCCGCCGCCGACGCTGGCGTAACACCACGAACTTGCCTCCGGCCGGCCGTCCCGGGGCCGCGGAGTGCTGTGGACGTTGACTTTACGATATCGATTCTGATTCGATTGACTGAGACCGATCTATAATCTGCCAAGTGACAGACAGCAGCATTGGGGCCTTTCCGCGCAAGGCGGCATAGGCACCACGAATTCATTTTCGTCTCGCACACTTACGTACCGGAGCCCAACGTCAGTATCCACTGGTGGCACTGTGAAGAGATCTGGCCGCTGAGACTTGAAATGATGATTTTGTCTGGCGGCGACGGTTATGAGCGCTCGGCGTCCTCACCCGCTGGCTTTACACATACTCTTGAGTGATGCAAGCGAATCTCGATACAGGCATGACATTCAGCATACCCGTCATCTACGAGAGGATCTCGATTTGCCGTCGGCAAGGCCACCTTCACTTTGAAGTCTGACTGGCTCTCGACTTGGCGTCTGGACTATTTCACGATGTAATAAATCGTCGAAGGTAACGGCCGTGTGCACTAGAACAGTTATCCGAAAAGCATGCGTGCAACTCATGAATCAAAATCGTCCATACAGGAATGCATAGTGATCCAATCCATGGTCAATCTACAGAGCGATGCTGCTCATTTGCTAAATACATCTACATAAAAGCTGGTTGTGGTCAATGATACAACCATACTGCTCAGCAATGCTCCGCAAGCGTGTCTAATCATCTCACATTGAGTATCTGTAGTCTTTCAGATGGTCTTCGACTGCCACATTGTTCGTATTCTATCAACTGGGTTTGTAGAAATCGGCATCTACAGTCACAGTTAGAAAAGGATCGGTCTCCCAGGAACACGGCCGGTGCTGATATTCCTCTCTCTTGCCAGTGATTTGGAACGGGTAGCTGAGCCTGTACATCTGATAGCTCTCATGGGCACAGCCTATGCCCGTACCATGCTAGTTTGTCGAGATGACTTGCTCGGGCATTCGATCCACAACTACATAGACACTCAGAAGCAAATGAGCCTCTGTAACTCCTTGTGAGTGTTGCACGGAGACTATAACAAGTCACTTGGAGCGGCATGTTACGATGTAAAATTCTATTCTTTGCCGCACATGTCTGACATTTGGCTAACATGGGCGGGAATAGATGATTGTATCCTTGAAAATGTTGGGAGGGAGACGAGATGCATATATGACATCTTTAAACGGAAAGTCGCCCGTACTGTATCGACAGGAGCTCTCACCATATCCAGGAAATATATTCAAGTTTTCCTGCGAGTGTTTGAAGCACGATGGCATCTTCGAATGCCTGAACGATACTAGTTGATACCTTGATTCCTTCAGAGAGACAATTCAAGCAAACCTTTGATACCGAGTGGCATCAATTCACTCACCTTGCCAATCCGCCGAAAGAAGAGAAACAGTAGACGAGGATTGTTTACCTCGAAACAAGTTTGAAGCAAAGAGACGAGAAGACATAATCTGATGGTGTTTCGAGATATGCAAGTTCAATTATCCCCGGAACAATGCTTTGAGTATCTTTTAGACGTCGACCTTGTTCTTTACCCTATAGCAACAACCTGCGGCTGCCTTTGACTTCACATTTTCTTTGCCAACATGACCATCGAGTTTGAAAGAATGTTGTACTGCGAAAACACAGAGCACGGCTGGTTGATCCTCTTCCAGGAATAAACTGGAATCATGTAGACAATGTAAAGAAACAATAGACAAGGAAACGAAGGAACCTAGCGACAGAGACGAACGGGCATATTTCTATACATCTTGACCAATAAATACGTGGTAAATATCTCCTTGATTCAGATATCAGTTCGAAAAATCAGCCCAGTTGCAAACTCATCATTATGTCGCATAGAGAAGACACGCAGAAGCTTTTGAGCCTAAAGGGAATCCTACACTCGGACGAGGGCCCCATCGGCGACGAACCCAACTTCCGGTCTCTGCGAGACGGCCGTAGGTATGTCACTGCTAGAGATGCTGACAATATTAGAGACGTGACTTTTGTCGGGTTTCCTCAGCTGGATGCTATCCGGGAAGAGAAGCTCGCGAACCTTGCAGCGGACTTGGCAAAGCCCACCAAGGAGGCTTCTCCCGTAGGTTCAACCCCCTCTGAGTTCATGAATGAGATGCTGACATACGGTGGGTATAGAAAACAATTGTAAGATATCTTGACTATCTCCCAAAGGACAAGGTCTTCATCGTCGAGAGACTTCAAACGCAAAGGTCATGGCGACCCGTGAGAGGTACTACACAAGACGATGTAGTCCTCGACGTAGCTTGGGACCTCCTCCTTGCCCTCGCCTACCTCCACGCAACAGGCACCGCACACGGAGATGTCCGCCTCCACAACATCATTCCCTTTCCCTCAGAAGACTCGTCGCGCGTCCGATTCAAGCTCCTCGGACACGGCCTCGTTCCAGAGGTCATCAGCCACAACTTGCGCAACGACGGCTACACAGCCCCTGAGCTCCGCTTCTCAGGTAAGTGGTACGCCTTCAGTGCCAACACAAAGCCGACGTTCGAATCCGACATTTGGATGTTGGGTATGGTGCTCTGGCACTGTCACCGCTTCGGCGTCTACTACGACGGCCGCGGATCTGCTAGGGAACGGTGGGAATCAGATAGACTTGTCCAGCCTGACCTGACTAACGGCGCGGAATTCGGTATTAACCCGCTGGCTACCCGGGTCCGTGGCTGTGAGCCTTCGCCTCATCGATTTGTGGAGGACCTGCTCCATAAGATGCTCATTCCAGACCCTAAGCGGCGATGGACTGCTGCGGACTTGCTGGAACAGATGAAGATGCAAAGGAATTACACGCCGGCGGAGGATGAGATCAGGCGAGACCTAGCTGATCTTCAGGCTGCTCTGAAAGGTGAGAAGTACGATACGTTCAGAAGGTTGGCGGCTACGTTGAGAGAGGCTCCGCGCAGATCTTGGGCGAGGTTGGGAGGATGGCTGTTCTTGCTTGCTTTCGTCTTGGTACCTCTGTGAGTGAGTACCTTTATGAAGATAGATGTTTCCTTACTAGTATGCAGGAATTGGGAAGGACTTTAGATTCTGTTCGGACTTTGCTTGAGATTTCTGGTGTACGGGGTTCTACAAGAGATGAAGAAAGCTCTCTAGCTGAGCGGCTTCGAAATTATTCCTTTTCGAACATCTATTACCAGCTACATCTCTGAGCCGTAGTGTGTGTTTGAGCGGTCGAACAAAGGGCCAGATGCATGGCATACTAGTCAAGTATCTGCCTCGTCAGAGTCCAACCATCCTAAGTGAACTGGGTGCTCAGTTGGTAAAGACAGTCGAGCCGAGACTTCTTGCGCCGGACGCAAGTCTACATTGTTCAGTTCTCAAGACTTGTGTCCGTAAAGATCAGCCAGTCAGCAACACGGCCACTTCTCACCAATACATGATCATTTGGATAATTTCATTCTGTGAAGGTAACAACGAGTAGAGCAGGGTAGACTCTCATCATGATATTACTGAGGTAACATGGCTAGGTTTTGGTCATGGAGCCCCTCACAACATCTAAGTATCAATGAGATGAAATAAATTACCATGAGTCTTGCATGAGTAGATGCTCTAAGCTATACCATCATAGAAATTCAATAGCTCTCATGTGTCCTAGGTCGCGCATACGAGTGACCGCAGCAACGGGATACAAAAGAAATCAGAACAAAAAAGCCCTCGTTTCGCTGAGCTCGTCAATGAATTTACTCTATACAACACCCCGAAACTATTGACGGGATTCAAGGGCCGCTGAGAGAAAGAGAGGTGACTTCAGTCCCGGCTTCGTAATGACGATGACAGGTTAGCCTCAACCATTGTTGCTCACCATCAAACTCGTATTACCGAACCTCAAGTCCTCATCTGTGAGAACATCCGTTGCTTTAGACCATACCTGCGTGTCGTCACACCCGTCGGCCTCAAGAAGCATTGGCCAATCGCTGACTATCATGTCGCAAGCACGCGTAGACTAGCCCGGCTCTAAAACCTCACCCACTTCATCATCCGCCCATCTCCTACTCTGTCTCACTCAGATCTAACACAATCTAAACGGCCAACACACCCTCCAATAGACGGCAATGAGGTTCCAGGCCTTGCCATCACTCGCCTCCAAAATCCCAAGACTCCATCGTCCACTCGTCGGGACGTTCCTCTCCCGGGTCAAGTCGTAATGCAGATGTCCACCGAACCCCAGGTTGCCACCTACCAGAAGTAATGTACGGCTCTTCATCCGAGGCAACAATTCAATCGATGAATCGCTTGATTGGAGGCGAAAAAAAGCTACACAAATAGAGCTTCCTTTCGGCAGGCAAGCAAACGATTGGCCGAGTGAACCGCTAGAAGGGTGAGCGTGAAGAGCAGAGGGAATCCTTATGCCACTCTCTTCCAAACTACCCGCGTGGTTCTCTGTGCATCAGAGTTCCGGGGATCGAATCCGAGCCAAGGAAAGCTTGTCTCGCTCTTCCCTGTCCGTCTGCACACAACCACACAACGTCCAAGTGGCATCACAACCACACCACGGGTTCCCGGTCTAACAAGAAGTCTTCACATCTTCTCCTCACATCGTTATCGGGTTCTTTTCCCCGCAAGATTGTGGACGTTTGACGAATCCGCCCTTCAGTCACACAATTAACATTTATCGCGCAATATCGAGTGAATTACTTGCTTACTTTTTCACTCACGTATCTGTTGTGTTATCGAATGCGCCTCTCGGTCACCCTGCAAGCCCTCACCGACTCTCAGACCATCCGATAAAACCTCCCTCTCACCCAAACCCTTTGCTCTCCGTCCTCCCATAAATCTCACCCATCACCCATCAAGCCACCTCTATTTCCATCCGACCCTCCCAACAAGTCAATACCTAACCCGCCCCTCCGTTTGCATTCTGCCTTTCTCCCCCCGAAGTTCTTGACTCGCCCGTCTCTCTTCCCCTCCATCCCACAAGAAAGATCCCTGTGTTGACGGCATCGTCCCGAGCCAGCCGTAGACCCGACTTGTTTCTAACCTATCTGCTGCTCCTCCTCCCACACGCTGCGTAAGCTAACCAAGCCGTACGTCTGCCGCAAGAGAATTACGCACAGCCGCCGTCGGCGCTGTCCTTGCAGCAGGCTTTCACTACGCATGTAGTGGGAAAAACTCGCTGTACTTCCTCGATCTGCGTGACCACCCACCGAGGAAACCCAAAGGCCGCGCCAGATTCCCACTCAAGACCGACGTGCCGGGTTGACCCTCGCTCGGACGATCCCAACTCCTCAGAGTTCGGGCTCTGATACCGGGGGGAAGAAGCCCAACGAGCCGGCTCCCAAAGTTTCATTTGCTTTTCGCACCGCCTACTAGCCTTTGGATACGGGCTCATCGTCATTTGCATTCATTTACCCTCGCTGCCATTCTCCTTTTGGTGGTCTTAATATCCCCTTTTACCTCGACCTCCGGTCCAAGCAATCTCCTGTTACAGGTTTACTGTCACCGAGCTCGCTCCTCCAAACACCAAGCTACCTGTCTCACTTGAAGAGTCCGGTCTCATTGACGGCGTCAACACACCCGAGACATCTCACAATAACACGAACGGCTCATCCCCAAACGTCGTACTCACCGCTGTTCACATATCACCGCGCATGTCTCAGTCTAATAGCAGCCACCGCAGTCGCGCCCTCACAAAGACAACCCGGTCGGGAGACACCACCATGGCCCGGACGCGGCGCTCCTACTCTCCATCCTCCCGCTCGCGCTCCTCCTCCGCGGGTCCCCGCGATCATCACAAGAAGCCCGGCATAAAAACCGCAGCCGTCTTCATCGCCGCCATCGCCGTCGCCTCTCTCGCCGTCCACAAGCTCTGGCCGCGCGGCATAATCCACTCGGAAAAGGAGCACTGGGAGCACTCGCCCTCGCCAAGCGGTCGCCGGTCCCGCAGGCGCAACGTCATACGGGACCGTCACAACGGGTACATCGACTACGAAGACCACAACGTCTGGGACCGCAACGACTACCCCCGCGATCGAAGGAGGCTACCTGAGAGGGAGTACTTACCTCCCCGAAGTCGCGGCGGCGGGCGGTCACGCGGCTACGGAAGTGAGAGCGAAGGAGATTCGTACTACTCTGATGATTACCTCCCGTCTCCGAGCGAGCGCTTCGAAAGAAGAGGTAGGATCGAAGGGGATGGCCGAGGGCGATCGCGTGGAGTCGGCGCAGAGGGGGAGAATGAGATGGTGAGATATGAGAAGCAGTCAAATAGGTCAGAAGCTGCCGGGAGTCGATTCGTGGAGGAGCGTTTACCAAGACCACGATATAATGAGGCCGTGGAGGATTGGAGTCGGCGCGGTGATCAACGATTTCCTTCACCACCCCGCGAGCCAGAGTACGTGGATCGAAGGCCCCGACGGAGATCTGATTATTATTAGCTGTTTAAATTCATGTGGATGTGAGTCGACGGCATCACAGTCGCAATGTTCGAAGCAGCCGGTGAAATAAAGCCAAGCAAGATGAATGGCTACCATAACATAATATCTGACCGTACTATTGGAGCCAGATTTACAACCAGTTTCAATGCCATCCCGTTGTACTCCTTCACCTGCGCCAAACCGCCCTCTCTTCCTGTATACTATCGCTTTCCCCAAATGCAACGTATTCATTATGTTCATCTATTCCTCGGCGGTCGATACAACAGGATTGTTTGCTTCCATGTGAGGTTCCATAGAAGGTTCACTCTCGGCGGCCGGACTTGGCGGTTGCTCCATTAAGCTCATGGCCTCATCTACGGCAGCTTGCCAGCCTTCTCCAGCAGTCCTCATGACCAGAGGAGTGCTGATCTCTGCGGCAAAGTAGTTCTCCTTGCGCATGTTGCCGCGCGCGACACCCTCCAATGCCGAGTAGGCGGCACGAGTACTGCGCATCCTCTTACCTGGCCTGCCGCCTTCACTTAGTAGATCACTGCGTTGCATGCGATTCTGCATGAGACGATGATCATAGTTTATGATACTGCGCACATAGGGCGCCACCTCAAGAGTAATCATGCGCATAGTACGGTCAAAGACTGACGGCTCGAGACTGGTGGCCATCATGGCCGCTGCCTTCTCGGAGATAGCGATGGGATCGAAAGCCATGGCCATATCATAGCGGTTGATCACCTCTTCTTCCCGGGGAGGATCGACAAAGAACTTTTTCATTTGGCGGATTGCGCTGTGCTCTTGGAAACAATCCATATTGACTGTACTGCCGTTTCGTAAGGATGCGGTGTGGAGAAGCTGTCGGGCGGCGCATTTAAGACCGGTGGCGATGGTGGTGGCCGTGTGAGTGTAGTCAGTTTGGAATGGGGCCTCGAGTAGACGCCGGCCTAAATTGAAGTCGTCGCGGGTTTTGATAGGAAGATCCGGCTGTGTGGGATCGAGAGGTTCCTGTGTATCTGTTAGCCACAGTCGCACGATGTTAAGCGTTATTCAGACTACTCGCCTGGAACTTGAGGCCAAAGTCACCATCAGAGCAGATATCAGCCGCGCTCATGAGATCAGAGAACTCAGAGAACACGTCTAGCGCGATAGCCCTCTCGCTGGGCGAAGAAGTCATCACGCTGTCTGCCCATGAGGCCATGTCAAGTGAATCATGCCAGTTGCTCAAATCCATTCCGAGGCCCTGCCAGCATTGGCTCACCAACTCTTCTTCGGCAGCACGCACGCTGGGAACCACTGCTCGGTCGCGACTGATCCACCCCATGCCCTCCAAGTACGTTCCCTCGCTGACTACACGCACGACGTCGCCGTTCTCGTCTTTGTCGCAGCCTTTTGGCCATCGCGGGTAGAACCAGTCAAAGCCGCCTCGACGGTCACCAACTCCAAGCTGACACCAGTAGTTGAGTTCCATTAGAGACGCTCGAAGATCGTTATCCTTTGATGCATAGAGGGCGCTCACGGCTGCTCGGCTAAGAGCATGGCCTTCGTTGGCTGCAATGAGTAGGAGTACATCGACCGCCAAGAGTGCTGGTGGTGGTGTGAAGCGGAGGATTCCATATAGCATAAAGCTGTGAAATGGAACCAGAGTCTCGTCGTTGCAAGTCATGACGAATGGCCTCTTGGACTGCGCGACCAAGTTGATGATGGTAGCCCAAAATTGCTTGTCCTCTTCGTAGAGAAGATCGACCTCTTCGAGGAGGATTAACGATTGCTTTTGACTCTGGGTTTTTGCCTTTGCTGACTTGGGTGCATCGGACGGCTGGTCAATCGGCTGTGGTACCGCTTCTGGTTTGGGAACCACCTTCGCCTTGAAGAACGATGTCATGGTGCCTTGCTTGCCAGATTTGATGTCCTTTGCTGTCTCGTCATCGGCGTTGTCTCCGGCATCACCCTTGCCGCCTTGGCGGTTATGTTGAACAAGGTGATTCTGCGTCATGTCTCCAATCTTCTCCATGACGTCTTTGCCGTTGCGGCGACTGCTGGCGTTGATCTCAAATATCTCGAAGCCGAGCTCCTTTGCTACAGCGTAGACAGCAGCCGTCTTGCCACTGCCATGAGGTCCGCTAAGGACAATTGCATTGGTCAGGCGGCTCGCATCTTTCGCAACATCTCTGCGAACTACAGTCTTCTTCGGGCCACCATGAACAGGTGTCGGCAGCCATTCATCCTCATCATCAGACACCGAAGGTAGAAAGTCTGCTTCATCACCGTCTAAAACGATGAATCCATCCATCTTGCCGCGCTTCCGCTTCTTCTTTGCCGCCGAACCCATTTTTGTACCGGAGGCCTTCTGGTCTGCAGTGGAAGCACCTGTGTTGACTGATTGAACGGTCAACGTCTGCAGCCACTCCTTTAATAATACGCCCTCTTCGAATTGAAGGACTTCTTCTCCACTGATTGGTGCGTATTTGTGTGCCCACGGAAGGTCCTCGCATTGCGACCTGTCATAGGCTGAGAGATTGGTTTCCAACATGTTGTAAAGGCGAGCCACTGAAGGATGGGGTTTCCGGTTGGACGCTGTAAGTAGCTCATCATCACTGTCTGCACTCGAGATAACTGGCAGAACAGATTTCAGCTCTCGCTTGATCCTTTGCCGAAGCTTGCGACCGCTTTCAAAGTGTTTCTCAGGAAGGCGGAGCTCCGCGGGTGTCGGCTCGTAGTCTTCTGCGGCCTGCTGCACTGACTTCTTGATGCTCAGAGTGTTGAGCGATTTGGTGAGCTGGTCTATGATAGATTCACCAGGGTAGATGTTTGTAGTCTGCCCCTTGGATTTCCGGGACGAAACCTTGTTATCTTTTGCAACTGGAAGACGTTCTTCCTCCGGAAGAAGCCCCCTTACATGTGCCATCCCCTGGGCCGGCCATGCGGGATGGCAAGCGCCTGGAACCCTGAGACCCATAGATCGGACACCGAACTGTGGAAGTTGGATCTTGCCAGCTATCGGGGCTACCCGCTGCTTTCTGGGAGAGCATGGGGTCGATGAGAAGATGGTGGCTCTAGGTGGTTTGGGAGCGGCGGGAGGCGCGTCCACCGGCTTCGCAGCCTTCTTAGCATTACCTAGAAACAGAGGATGGGTGTCCTTCGCTTTTGGTTTGTCCTGGTCCTGCTTGGGAGCCTTCGCACGAGGCTTCCGGGGGTCCGTCTTCGCTGGAGCCGTGAGAATCTGCTCAATTTTCAGGCCAATGCGCTCGCGGGACGCCACATCAATTCCATACTTGATTGTTACGATGCGGGCGGGTTTGGCCAGTGACTTGGACGCCTTTGCGCTTTTGGACGTTTCTGCAGGGCTTGGTTTAGGCTTCGGAGGTGAACCAATTGTGCCGGTTTTTGGGTTGAATTTGAGCACTTTGGTAGGCTTTTTGGGTTCTCCTCTAGCACCAGGAGCTGCATTGATCGCATTCGAGGTCGTATTCGAAGGGTTATCAATCATGTTCAAAAGGGAGACAGGAGCCTGGTTCAGTGGGTGGGCAGCTATAGCGGGCTGTGTCGGTGCGGGATCGGGCGTTTGTGGGACTTGATTGGCAAGCGAGGTCGTCGGCACGCTGTTGACCTGGGAGAAGTGGCTCGTGATATCGACAGATGGGATATTTGGCTTCTTCCTGGGTCGCCCTCTTTTCTTCCCAGAACTTGGAGGGTTCCCAGCACCAGTCTTTTGCCTCTTGCGATCTTGTTCATCCTCGCCTATGTCTGACGACGCTGGCTCCACGTCGCTGGATGGTTGCTGAGATGCCCGTGCCTGCTTTCGAGATCGAACGGGTTTACTCTTCAAAGGTGTGCTGTCGACAGACTGAGGCTGGTCGTCGGTACTCGAATCGGTTCTCGGTGCATCGGCGGTCTTCCCAGGGACGAAGAATGGGTGAAGCTTTGTGGTGTGGGAGGCGTCCAGCCCATCTGGGGCCATGTTGGCTACCAGAAGAGTTCCCATGAGATCGTGCGATGCTGTAATGAAAGTATGGTTTAGCATTTAGTTATGGCAGCATCGGTAGAGCAACGGAGGTGCATTCAATGTATGGAACAGGAGACTTGGGAACTTACGCCAGAGCCGTCGCGCCTTTAGACTACGTCAGCGGGCATACAACTGGTCGAGAATTGGTGAATGTCGAGAGATGTATGCGAGTCCAAATTGGATAAAGTACCAATGTCCGGAAGTTTGGCACCGTCTATTATAAAAAGTAGGACATAACGGAGAATTCCTCTAGAGTTTCAATATAGCACCGCAAATCGATGGGTGTGAGAAATCGAGGTCGGTGGGTTGTTAAAGTATGGAGTGCACCAGTCGCGTGAGTCGCGTCGTCGAACCGCCGGGAGCAGCAGTGGGCGTGTAGCGCGACGTCCATTAAGGTACACTTAAGATCCTGGACCCACCAGTATTCCTGATTATCTCTTATCCCTTATCTTATCTAATCATTATGGTTGAGCGGTCCGCAGATTATCCGACAGCAATTATTTTTGTATCCTGTCGCACTGTCTTCCTTGGTGGAATTATGAGTTAGAGAACAGTGCCAAATCTTCGTCCGGCCGACTTTTGCACCCCACTACAGCAGAGTCCTCCAACTTTTTTTTTCTTTCGGCATCGCGACCTTCACTTACACAGCCAGGTTTTCGAGGTTGGAAAGAGCCATTGCAGTCGCACCCAGACCTGAGCCCCGCCGAAACCCCAATTCACAGTTTCTCTGTAGGCCAACGCTGTGAGAAGACACAAGATGGCTCCCACTTTCCGCATTCACCGGCCAGACGTTTTGGCATCGCTGCCGCGTCCTCTCGACCACACTAAGGGCCAGTACCACATTGGCGAAGTTTACACACAAAAGCCCGGATCGAAGAAGAGGAAGAGGCTGGAAGTTGTTGTTGGTGTGGATGGAGAAGCAGCCAATATTTACCACGTAAGTAGCTGTATCGGGGTGCCTCCTCAATACAGCGTCTAACAATTGCTTAGGTGCCCTCGTCTGGTTTGCGAACATCGTACCCGATTCCGCCTCAAGAGTCCTTCACTTGCGCGCCGCACTCGATCCGATTCCAGGGAGAAGGCTCAAGCAGTCGCAACAACTACACATACCTCTCCACAAGAGACACTACCGGCGCAAAGGTTACCCTCTGCCGCGATGTGATCGACACGACTGGCAAGACAAACTCTGCTAGCACGTCTCAGCGAGTGCGCCATAAGTCCCCAATCACGCATTTGTTTACTTCCGCCGCCGTCGACACCACTATCCTCAGCGAAAACCAATCCGACAAGGGCCATGTCGTTGCTCTTTGTAAGGATGGCCAAGTCTTGTGCCTGGACGGCGAGGCATTGGAGCAAAAATGGAGCGCATCGTCATACAGCCTCTGTAAAGATCTGCTTCCTGCGACTGTCTCAGACTACGAGGTGGAGTTCTCTCTACACGCTGCGGCATCAGATATCTTGAATGGACTATTCCAGGGCAGACAGGACGCCTTTGGCTCTTTCGGACGCCAGATTGACCCCAAGACCTTCAACCCCGACGTTCTCGCCTTTGTCGCCCGCACTACCAGCGAAGGAATCACCTCAAGATTCCTCATCATCTTCGGTATAATTACTACGGCGCCTTCGCAGCCGTTGGTTCAGCTCCACGTCACGCCCTTGCCTTCGCAAGACGAAGTTGGCACCGACTCGGCCACATACCAGCTCCATACCCAGTCAGGAAAGCTGCTTCAGCTTCACGGTTCAGTCCTCCGAACGTACGATCTGACGAGCGCCGTGCCCAAGTTGCAAGGCAGTCTGCCTCTGCCGGATTTGACTTCATTCCTCCAACTTTCAGACCACTCGGTTCTGTGCCTATCAAAAACCTCTGCCAGCATGATGAACCCCACCTTCCACTCGATTCAGGCTTCGACAGCAGTCGAGTTCTCCGAGGCCACTGAGCAGCAGAAGCCAACGCTCGTGACTTTCCTGTCAAAGCTCGACATGGCGGTAGCGGTTGTTGGCAACACGTTGGTCTCTATACAGATTGAACGCCCCAAGTCTCACAGCAAGGAAGGTCTTCTCATCGATTCCATCGGCAGAGGTCTGCCAAGGTCTGACCGTGTGCCAACAAGCCTTCCCAAGACTGGCAACGAAACGTTTGAAAACTACCTCCCAGGAACCCTGTCTGACGAATACGTCAAGGAGTCTCTAGCTGATGTCGTGAGAGCGGATGGGTTTATGCAGGAACAAGATTGGAAGTCATTCGAAGCCCTGCTTGCGCAAAGATTTGGGGTCGCAGTGCAACAGGAGGTTGTCTCTAATGACCTCCAGACGCCAACCTGGAAGTGGCTGGCTGAATCAGAAGCGTACCCTGCCGTTGACCGCAGGTGGGTGCTTTACGCCATCAGCAGAGTCTTCTCGATGGAGATTCAGAGCCCCGAGTCGGCCATTCTTCGATGCAACCTTCCCGCGAGCAACGTCCTGATCTACCTCATTGCTGCTGGCCACCTCACGAATGCCAACATGTGTGCGGCCTTCAAGAGCGAGCTGGCCGAGGTGGCATCGAAGGATTCGGTCATTGACAAGCTGGTTCAGAATCTCGTCGTCATGAACCCTGCGATGGAGCTGCTCCTCAGCTATGTCACGGCAACCAAGCTCGGCGAGAAGGACTTGCTGGTGGTGGTCCGCGCCATCATGCAGACCCTCAACATGAAGCCGCCGCAAGAGCTTCTTGCGCTGACAGAAACTGAGCAAGAAGAGGATGTGGCGATGGAGATTGAGAAGACAGAACAAACACTGGAAATGGCCGAGGTGGCCGTATACCACATGGACGACGACCGCAACCTCCGCGAACGAGCTCTCACAACAGCATTCGAGAAGCTTGCAAGCTACTCGTCTATCGCGACGGTGCGCGCCCTCCGCGAGACTCTCAGCCCGACGGAGATTCTGTCACTCATCGACACTCTGCGAACACAACTCTACCGCGGCGCCTGGACATCACGGTACTTTGACATGACAGACATGGACAAGGACGAGGCCGCAGGAACACCGCCGGATGGCACCATCTCTCTCATTGCAGAACTGATTTCCCGATGCATTGATTCCATCGGCCTCAGTGGATGGCTTACAAATGGAGCATCCTCCGTGGGCGGCCGTGCGGACGCGCTTGAATTCATTACTAACCTGAGCAACGAAGTCAGCGCGGCCCTGACCGGTCTGCACGAAACAGTCCTCCTGGACGGCTACGTTGGCGAAGCGGTTCAGTACGGCAGAACAGCAAAGACGGGATCATCAGCCAACGCGGCTGCTTCCGCGCGCGCTGGGGCCCTCGCTAAGCCGGTCTCCCTCGACGTGGAACTCTCGACTCGCTTGCCTCTGGGACTCGTGTCCAAGCAGCATGTGTCTAACCAGAAGATTGTTTCGGGCGGCGAGGTGCTCGAGAGGAGCTCGCGTGAGAGAGGACACCTGCTGAGTCAGAAGGTCAAGGCGTATTCGCTGGAGAGGATCTCCATTTGAGCCGCATGTCAGACGAAGATGACAGTAATGTATCGAGGGATCTGGGGCCCCACCAGACCAGCGTGTGAGATTATCGGGCTTTGAAGTAAAAAGTTTAAGGCTGAAGACAAACAAAAAACGGAGGAGGCTCTGCATGGGCTGATGGTTTGGGGCAATAGAAGCCGCCCTGTGACAGTGAAGCCTGTGAGTATCGGACAGGAAGAGAGGGGGAAAGCGTAGAGGACGAGGACAAGCCAGAAAGTGTAGTGCTCGAAAAGATACCATGAACGGATACCGAAGCGTACATTTCCTTTTCCCCTCTCGTCGACCACGACATCGGTTACATTCGGTGAAGGCCAACCATGTGGTCAACTGTGAGCCATTCTCGAACATTGAACAACTCCCCTGTGTACCCTCCAATGAACTACCTACCACTACCTAGCATAATAAAGTTTGCATTGGTCGAACAATAGAAATCATCGCCCGAATTCTAGCGCCAGCTGACATGAGGGAATTGGGCTACGGCAGGGCTGACTTGAGATGCACCCTTCCGTGACCGGACGAATCGGAACGCTGAAACTTACCCGTCGGTGTGACAGACCACTTACAGCTGAGGCATTTCGAGAGGAAGGACAAGATGATTTTCAAAGGTTGACTGAATTGGATGTGCACGATTCAGAGCACGATACTCTCCTAGGTTGGTTGTTTGGTTGGTTCAGAGAGATTTTGTTTGCTCATGAATCTCTGTTGCTCATATGGCGCTCAGGCTCTGAGCACTTTTGGCTTTTTCGGCTAGCGATTTCTTGGAGCAAGTCAGGCCATGAAGCAAATTCAGCTTCTGAATAATCAACATCTGGTTTCAACATCCATTGAGCTTCTTTGGCGACACTCTCAATCCTCGGCTCGTCAACAGACATGTGGCAGCAGGCAGAGACAGACTAAGACGTGACACTGCTGACTGGAAAGTAGAGAGGAGGGGCATGTGCACAGAGGCCCAAGCTCCATATCTCGAAATGCTTCAGGACGCATGCTCCCGTCTCAAGTGACTTCCTCCTCATTGGGCGGGTTGAGTTTCCGCATTGCTGTCCAGTACTTTGGACAAGATGATATGCCGAGAGAAAGAAGCAGAAGAGACTCTGACAAGCCTCCTTTTCTGCCGTCTTACAAGCCGGTCCACAAAAGTCATGAATGCAGAAATTGTACGGTACGACCCTCACGAGCTGTGGGAGGAGACATAACAGACTATCGATTTCACTAGATCGATGGAGAACGGTGGCTTTGCACATTCGGGGCTCTGCTGAGGGATTGTGCGGGGGGAGCGAATGAGGCCCTTGGAGTTGCATCGTGGGCCATCGCTGGCAGTTCATGGCAGATCTCATGGCGGATCTAATTGGTTGCTGACGATGCAACCGATGCAAGAGTCCTTTCTCAACTGGCTAGCGGCAACGCTTGATGTGGCTTGTCGGGCAGCTTTTCCTGCGCCTTCTTGCTGCATGTCCAGCGAAGACGCACGAAGAACGGGTTGCCTGCCGGTCAGCCACCTCTGATGGGACCGCCGTGACAGGTATGCTTTGCGTCCGAATCTTTGGAGGGATTGGGGGAATGTGGATAGCATCGGAATCAAGCGCTTTTCGACAACTTTCCGCCGCTTCAAGGCGGAAAGATGCATGGACAAGGCAACGAGCTCAAGGTTGTACAGTGTCCAAGGCTACGTACTGAGAAGAAGGAACCACGAGATCAGACCAGCCCAGAACCAAGAGTCACAGGCGAGAGTTTGTCGGCGAGCATCACAGCGAAGAGACAGAAAGCGTCGTTCCCACCGGAAATATCGGCCTCTCGATGTACGAAGGATGCAAGGCATCCAAAGTCCTGCAGCAACAAGAGCCGTGTTGTTACCGCAGTGGCATTCGTCAGCAAGTGACTTCTTTTCCCGGGTCTCCGGTGTTTCCAGTTGCCCGCTCTCAAGCCTCGACTCTATTCTATTCTACACGCGTTGTAATATCGATGGAGATGCAAACGAGCTGGCTGAACTTTGAAGTGGGTTTCGAAACGGACCGTCTTCAACAGACAGCTCTGACTCTTACACGAACCCTGTTTCTTACCAATGACATGCTCAAATCCCCTCCCAGGACCCTGACGGATGGGCCGAATGGGACAGAGCTTCTAGAAGCCGTTTTTAGCGTCTTCTCGTGTTCGACTCGATGATACGGATGCCGGAGCCGTCCTTTGGGGCCTTGGATTCCGGAGTTCCTCTTCCCCAAGGGCCAAGACGAACTGACATGCAGAGTCGAACCCAAAAAAACCGTTCTTTCGCCCCCCCTGCCCGTATTCCAATCGGTTCTCAGAGAGAGCTGCAAGTGCTGTTCCGTATTCTGTGCAGCAGCGAGGATACCCACATTGACTGGAACGCCGGGTATGCAGGACTGCACGAACGAGGCCCCAATGGAGACAAGGACGAAGAAAATCGAGCCTGCTGCGCTGCTGGTGCTTCTGGAAATAGGATCTCTCGGGGTCCGCCGAGAGGCAAGAAAACCAACAACGCTACCGTGCGTGGATATCTGCCAGAGCGCAACAAAGTTGTCACTTGTCAGAGCTCACTCGTGTACCCGACGTTTGCCTCGCTGCAACTTGCCGAGCGCTATAGAGCACCCGCTGCTATCACTGTGTGTCGAATTGAAGTCCACAGCATCAGGGCCAGGGCCAAGCAAGGTTCTAACTGCATGGCTTCTGTCTCCCCTCGTGGGCCGCTCCGCCGTCGTCTTGTTCGTCGGCATCGATGTCTGCCCTGGCGCCATCCCCCAGTACCTGACGTTTGGTGCTTACAGGCGTACCTCGCCGACCACAGGATGCCTTTCCCGGGGCCGCTGGGCATTCTGTACCCGCCCTGCCTGCGAGGTAAAAAAATAATAAAAAAAAAAAATGAATTGTTACTGCTCACGCGGGGCTGCGTTCCTGTTTGAGGCTTGGCGAGGGGCAGCCCTCCATAAGTCCAAAGTGGCTCTCTGGAAGAGTCCGAAGGGGAGAGGGCCACAGGGTATGGAGGATCGAGGGGAGCTGCACGGCGCTTCTTGGATTGCTGCTCGCCCCTCGATTCATCCAGACGGGTGGCGCAGGCGGCAACAGGGACACCCCAGTAGGCATGGGTGGCGCGTCCCTGTCTCCCCCGGAGAAACTGCGTATGGTGACGATGCTGCTGTTCCAAGAGAAAGGAGAACTCGGACCACATGGTTGGCGAGGATGGGTAAGTCTGAAAGGGTTCAGTTCAGGTACAACGTTACGGATTGCGGTACATGTGCTGCTCAGTGTCAATCCAAGGCCAAGCCCTGTCGTTAGCATGACGCCCGTGATGAGTTGAGGTGAAGGGTCGAGGATTGGCATTACAGCCCTATGGAGAAACAAAATCTCTCCCAAACACGCCAGGGCTATTTCAGGGTGATTGTTTACGAAACTTTTCATGTTCAATCGCCTCGGCGATATCATGGTCGTTCTGAAGAGTGGTAGACGCTATTTCCGGCAGTTGAAAGGGCGTCATGCAGAACGACCCAGGCACCTAGGGTTGGCAAACAAATGCCGCGACCGAGTCTCAAGTTCATTGAAGGGGTCTTGAACAGAGAGGAACAGAGAGGTTTGAAGAAGGGATGATTCATGAATGATAGCTTCACAAGATCGAGTCCGGTGGTTGCCTACCTTACTACCACATCCACGATCTCCCGGAGTCTCTGCAAGGTATCTTCTTTGCAGAGTGACGGTGGAGAGATACATGAAAGGGATATCCAGGCTCGTACAGAGACATACAACGCAAGAGACAACACCCTGACTCCGGATGTCACTGCCCAGACAGACACACAGCAGTGTGACAGAGCAAGAGTGACCTCTGACCTCTGACCACTTACCACTTACCACTTACAGTACGTGAGTACATACCTAGGTAGGTAGGTCACTGATCCAAAGAAAAGGGCTGGAGAGAAAGGGTCTTCTGCTCCGGCCGTGCAGCTAGTCCCAGGCGGGCAGCAGATGGTGCAGATCCAACCGTCAGTCCGTCACTGATCCCCTGCCACTGACGGCCCCCCCTGTCTCGTCTTCTGCGCGCCCCCGGACAGTATGATTTCATGGACCTGGAGCGAATACGTCACTGCAGGAAGATGGAGCATGGAGTATGGAGCAGGAGCCACGGAGCTTGCTTCTGCGTGTCGCGTTGGCAGTTTGCTGCGCGCTCCTCGTCTGCGTATGGCACCTCCCACATCCCACCAGCCAACCACCACCAACGACAAGCAGCAAGCACTACATCACAAGCTCATCTCAGCCCCTCCCTCTCTTTCTGTCTGATACTTTGTAGTTGTGAGCGGCAACACCGGGCAAAAGAGTACTTGTCAGCTTTGGTCTGCCTCGACATCCTGCTGATGCCTGGTGTGCCTCTTTGATCCCGGTGCAAGTCAGAAGTCGCTACTTACTTTTATCTCCGCAGCAGCACTCGACCGAGTTGAGTCATCCGCGCAACTTTGCTCTGGCCTTCTGCGCTTGATAATGGATGAGAACCTCTACATCCACGCTCGCATCTCCCTCAGCCAGTTGGCAAGTCCAGCACTTTGCTCAAACCCTCGGGCCATTACTCCTCCTACACCATCAGTTTACATGACGAGGATAGACCTATTGGACACGGCGCAGATCCGCTGCCTTGGAACGGATACTGGTACACGCGAACCCATCACCAATGAAGTCTGCCCCCTCCCCCTTCTTTGCTACTACGCAGTAGGTGCTGTGTAATGAAGAGGGGCACTCGTCAAAGCTGTGCTCCCCCTCCATCCCGCGGTACATCCCAAAGTCGACTGTTTCTCCCAAGCGACGCGGGGCCGAGTTGGAGTCGCCCTCGGGTTGCGACCACATGATTAGCTGCCACACCCAAGGCCATGGAATCAAGTAGAGTACACCGGCGAGGTACAACCTGACCCCCCCCCTGTCTGCGTTTCCCTTGCCTTTTCTTCCCTCTCCCAAAAAGGCACAAGTGACAGTTGAAGTCATTGTCAGCCATCCGGTTTACTGTACGTACACTACGAGTACGTTCCATGACAATATCGCCATGAGGCCCCGTTTCGGGTCACCACCACCTACCTTACTCTACCTCCTTTGCTCTTCGCTTGGTTTTCTACTGGCCTCGCCTGGATACACCTAGACAAGCACACAAGCACACAAGCAAGGCCTTGGTTTATGATTTACCCGCCTGTCTATCTGTATCTGTGGTGTACCTCACCTCTCTCTCTCTGTCTCTTTCCCTGACTCTGTACGAATACTTGATACTCGGAGGCTGAGTAACTCTACTTCCTGCCGACTCTTGGACTCCAGCTTTTCGGTGAAGCAGATCAGGACAGGATTTGGGGAAGTTATTATTCTCGGACCTCACGTTGCACATCACAAATCAACATTCTCTCCCTCTTCCTCACTTCTTTTCCTCTTGAGACCCCTTCTCTTCATATCTTCCCCTGCGGACCAACCTTTCCCTTTTCAACCCTCATCCTCCGTCCGTCGCCCACGTTCTCGTTCCCGACCCCCCTGCTACATCTAGAACCTCGCAGCCTCTCCTCTGATGCCACATCTTTATTGCTGTGCCTGACTTGCATCACTTTTCCCTGGTCTTAACCCGCCCTCCCTATTGCGTATTGCCGTCGATCACACCCAACGCAGCGTCCCAATACATCTGTCGCCTACCCGCAAGAGCGCGCTATCTTAGACGGACGTTGGTTCCTCCCGTCTCTCTTCCTCTCCATCTCATCAACACCACCAACGAACACCAAGAAAAACCACGCCTACGCAATAGTCGCTGCTCGTCGACCGAGCAGGAAACCTCACCAATACTGACCACAACCATAACGACCCCATCACTTTTTCGTGATGAGTAACGGCAACTCACCCCCCAGCCTGAGAGCTGTTGATGCCTTTGCGCGCGTCTTATACCGTCGCGCCAAGGCATCGGGACCAGATTTCGACGACGTCGCCAACGTAGTCCGTCGCCTGCACACGGTCCTCAAGCACCTCAAGGTCGAGTCCGAAGACCAAGACTCCCTACTCAATTCAGACGCCTCATCAGTCTATAACCGCCAGCTCGCACCCCTCGTTGAGGACTGCGACTTTGCCCTGAAGCAACTCGAGACCATGATCGAAAAGTATGGCGAGGGTACACAGCTTGAAGAGCGCGAGCGTGACATGTTGGCCATGGTTCGCACGAAACTTGCCAACCAAGAAACAGCTATCGATATGTTTCTCGACACAGTACAGCTGCACAATCCCAGTAAAGCCCAACGCGTAGTAGACGAACAAGGCGGAAACTTGGACAATATTAAGGACAAGGTGGACGCCATTGCCGCAAGGTTATTTGCACGGAGAGACAGCGGCATTGGCGACGATGAAGAGGATCTTTGGCAACAGTTTCGAGCCGAGCTGGAAAAGGAGGGCTTCTCAAAGGAAGTGTTGCGCAAGAACAAGGTACGATGATCTTGAACACATAGACAGGAACAAAGCTGTTGCTAACTCACTCGAACAGGAGGTTCTGCGTGCATACATCCGCGAGCTCGAACACTCAACTGGCAATGATGCTACGGCACCGCCATCGGTCCGCGGGCTTCTAGCCCAGGAGCGCGCATATCCCCATCCAGCCATGGCGGTCACACCTGCATCCTACCAGGGCCGCGACAGTCATGGTCCTGGAGAGACGTACGGCTCATACGACGATAAGTATGCTCCGGCTGTAAGAGGTGACCGCCGTATGGCAGACCAGCGCTCCGCCCCCAACCTGCCTAACGAATTCAGTACCCTTTCCACTTATGAAAGGGAACATGGCGCGGAGGACGAGCACAACGACTCTCTCGCCCTCATCTCAACCCGCGATCTCATGGCCATGGACACCATCAACCACGGCATGGAGAACCTTCGCCTCACTGCTGCTCACAATTACAGCACCTCCCCTTCATCTACTTCACCGGCAAACCGCTATTTACCACCAGATGTTGCAGCTGCCCGCGCTGCAGCAGACTTCTCCTCCTCGCCCTCCAATCTAGGCGTATCACCACGCTTCGTACCTCCAATCCCTCATGCCAGTGGTGTGCCCCCTTCTGCTTATGGTGCATCCCCGCGTACGTCTCAGAGCCGTCTTGCACCAGACCGTTACGGCATGGATATTCCCCTGGAAGCCAAGTGGACGCGCATCCGCCGTGCCCTGATCTCCCCCGAGATCCTTGAGCGTGCAGGCGTCCGCTATGAGGCTCGCCCAGACTATGTCGCAGTCCTCGGCGTTCTCAGCCGTGAAGAGATCACCAACTATGCTCGTCTCTCTGCCGAGGCCCGCGCTGCACGCTCTTCAAGACGTCACAACGGCGGCCCCCCGCCAAAAGTTGGTCCTATGCAAGGCTCACCTCGCCGCCGCGGCGATTCACATACCTCGTCATCAGAGGAGCCTCTCTGGGACTCTTCCGACAACTCGTCAGAAGCCAGCTATCCCGACGAGGAGAAGGGAAATAAGACATACTACATCGTTCCGCCGCCCTCCGACAAGGAGAAGGGCACATCTCCCGCCGCAACGGTCCAACCAAAGCCCATCCTCAAGAACAAGAACGAGAATCATGTTCGCTTCGACCCGCAGCCGCATGAGCTCGACCCCCACGCCTCATCTCCTCGTTCCTACCGCGACGACCGCGATCGGAGGAGAAGGCCCTCGCGCCGCGAGCACAGGGATTACGAGAGCAGAGACCGTGACGGCCACTACAGAGATCGCGAGCGGGAGCGTGACCGAGATCGTGGTGATCGTGAGAGAGACCGCGACCGCGACCGCGACAGCCACAGAGACCGCCACCGTGACCGGGACCATTATCCCAGCCGTCACCACCGCGAGCGATCTGACCGCGACAGGCGAGATAAGAAGAAGGCCTGGGGTGAGACTCTTGGAGCCGTGGGTATTGGTGGTGCCGCGGCCAGTCTGCTAAGCGTTCTCACTGAGGCAGCCTCAGTGCTGTGATACTCAAACACACCTGCCTACTCATCTACCTTACCTACATACATCCCGTCATTTCTCCTTTGTTAGTTGTACGATGGCTAGTTGATCGGAGACGTTCCCCCTGTATCAATCAATCTACTGTTCTAGGAGCTGGCGCCCTTGTCTCCTTTCTACATATCCTTCTAGCGTTTACCATTTGGGCTGTGCCCAAGACACATTTTGATCCGACGAGAACAGCAACTAGGAATACAGGACATTTCAGGGAGACAAGGAAAGGAAATCTTTTTGCAATCACAAAATATCCCGGACAACAGAACTTGTACCTTTTCTTTCCTTTGTCAAAACCTGTTTCCAAGTTGAACAGCAAATCCATGATACCTGTACTTAGGAAGGGGGGAACAAGCACGGGCGGATGAAGAGTTAGCTGTACGAGAGCGCACGAGAGAAGCCCCTGACAGTTGTAGATGTACATCATACCTTTACGAAATGAGAGATACCCCCAAAGATTGATGCTTTTATGATCTCGTTTGTTCCTAGAAATTCATGAAATTCCTATGCCTACTCCGTAAACCCTGTCATGGCGTCGTCAATTCCATGTTCCTTTGTTGTCATGCTATGCAATGCTATAACCCCTCCCCCACCTCTCCTCTCCGCGCCCGCTTCTCACAAACGCGCGGGCCGTTCCCCCTTGTCCTCTCGTGATGATATAATCCAAACAAAATCCGCGCAAAGTAACTTGATTGTTTCATACAAATACCGATGTTGAAGTAACCCGGCGCCTTCTTTTTACTTGCGTCTTAGTTGCCTGGTATTAGGCCTTGCCTCGTCACTAAAGTCAAATCCCCCAATGGTGGAAATCTTCTTCCTGGCAGGCTGACTGACGACGGGAGAAGACGGAGCCGCCCCTTTGCCGGCTCCCTCGCCGCCGACGCTGGCAATCTTGCTCATCATCTTGGCCCGATGCTGCTGGGCGCCGGGGTCCTGATACTGTATTTGCGTCGATGGTGGTTCCTGCTCCTTCTCCTGCTGGGGCTTCTCCTCCGCCGTCCGGCCCATCGAGTCCATGCGCGACTCGGCGCTTCCGCTAGATGCTGCCGACGCGTTGCTGATAGCGCGCCCAAATATTCGTTTGGCACGTCGTGTCGGTTGCTGCAGCGGGCCTGAGCCTTCCACATCGAGGGCATTCTCGCCGCTGGGTTTCGACTCGATAAGAGATGCAAGCTTAAAAGTTAGGTCTTCTTTCTCCGCGTCCTTTATCGCGTCCCGTTGACGTTTGCGCTCCGCTTCCGCCTCCGCTTCTTCATTATCTATTGGTTTCGTCTTGACTTGGCTGTCCTCACCGGCTGCGTCGGTGCCAACCTCAGCCTCAACGGGAGCCTGCGCTTCGGCTAGAGAAATAGGGGTCGCATCCAGACTGTCGGCCACGCTCGTGGTTCTAATCAATCCCACAGGTCGCCTGATTGGCCGCTCCGCTTTCAAGTCGCTGAGCATTGCGTCTGTCAACGGCGGTGCCACTGTCCCAGCACCAAAGCTATCTGCCTGGTGCGTCTTGGCTGTCTGGAACTGGAGAGAGGGGGTCAACTCAGCCTTTGCGATCATCGTTTCGGATTGTGCAAAAGCCGCTGCCGAGGTCTCCTTCACGGCTGGAACCTTCGCAGTTGAAGTAGCAGGTTTCCGCCGACCTTCATCGTCGTGGAATGCTGTTGTGTCGATTCCACCCGCGACTGTAGAGTGTCTTGCCGCTGGCTTTCTAGAAGCTTGAGGCACAGGCTCAGACCTTGTCCTTTGGAAGGCCTGCTTCATATCCTCCCTAGTTGTCTCTTTGGGCTTTGGTTTGGGCTGGAGATTGAAAGGCTGGCCCAATTCAGGAAACATGAACTCCTTGATTGGCACGTTGAAACCTGTTGTCATGCACTCCCAAAGCCACTCCGAGCTGACAACTGGGATGTTATTGTCGAGGGCTAATTTGAGCTTCTCCTTCCTCGTTTCCGCAAGCGCTCTACACACCAGCACTGAGGTCGTGTCGTTGAGTCTTGATGCGAACCGAGCACCGATTTGTGTGACTGCCTTTTCCACATGCAACAGATCGATTCCACTAAATCCCGCCGTGCAGATGGAAATATCCTTGAAACCATGAATGGGAAATACTGGTAGCGGGCGACCTAAGATGTGATTGTCCGGGTCGCGGAAAGCTTTATTATGCAGGCATCGCTCGATGAAGAACTCGGTCACAATTTGGATCTTGTCGATGTGCTCAGGCGGAACCTGAAGATATGTTGAAGGCTGGGATTCTTGTGGGACGATAAGAAGCCTGCGGTTCGGCCTGGCCTCGTAGCCTTTGGTGGAAAGTTCTTGGAAGGAGTCGCAAACCTGTCCACCGAGGGACACTATGGTGTCTGCGAGGATTTTGGATTTCCATGGCTCAAACCCGGACATGAAGAAAGAGCATACAGAGAAGACGCCCGCGTCAGGGGCAGGCTGGACCATTCGATCGTGGATGCCAGAGTCTTGAACTTCAATCCTGTCCGCCGTATCGCCAGGCCCGGCGGACTCGCCTGAGGGCTTGTTGCCGAGGATATCTCCCCAAAGCATGTCTCGCTGGCTGCCGAGCTTCATGCTGGCCGTTTTTCTGAGTTTTCTCTGGCCAATCTCGCCGGTGCCTGATCTCGATCTTTTCCCTGCGGACGCCTTCCTTGGCGTTACTCTATTCCAGGCGCCCTGGCCTTGCTCCTCGGCCGGCAGGACGGGGTCGAAACACTGCTCATCGAGAATCAGGCCGCGCTCGATGCTCTGTTCGAGCCAGGCTAAGGAAACGGTGCGGATATTCCATGCTCTGGCAGCCTTGTACTTCTTTCCTTCCGGTTTTCGGACGATCAGGTGGGAGACTCGTTTCGTTAGGTCGCCCGTATATGCGCCGCCGTTGGAAGTGATTTTCTCGATGATGCTGTTGCGTTGATCGGCTGTGAAAGGTCAGATCTGTGGTAGAAATAAACCCAGTAAAGTTTGCTTACGATCGTCGAAGCCAGTCATACAAAGCAACAGACTCCCACGCTTAGCTTCAGTAGAATCGGCTGCATCGACGACATGGCCGCACGTCTCCAGTGGCTTGAGCTGCCACTCTCGTTCGAGGGCGGCAAAGTCAATATCGGCATCCTTCATCCATAGATCTCCTACTGCATCGATCCATTTGGCATCCATAACCTTAATATCGGTTCGTTCTTTGGCGACATGGCGGTATTTGGGCGTGTCGTAGTCTCCTACGACAAGATGTGTTACGTCGGGTGTTAGATCGTACTTGTGGATGCCTCCGAGTTCTTCAGTCTTTGTGGCTACTTGTGTCTATATAAGTGTCAGAAGATTGGGGTATGGTGAGGTTGTAACAAGCAGCAGCAGCAGCAGCAGCCATCGAGTGTAGGCAGAGGGGCGAGTGAATGTGCGCATCACCACAACTTACTCGCTGGTCTGGCGGGATGCTTGTGCAGCACACGACAACGCCCTTGAAAGGATGCGCAGGGTCGATGGCCGGCTCGCTCGAGTCCCGACTGCGAGGGGAGTCCATCCTATGGCATGTCGGTAGCTGTGTGGTCTTCGAGGCAGCATTCAAGACTGGTTATCCTATTCTGTCGAGGGTTGGATGTTCTCAAAGAAGGTCGTCTTTGTCGCTGTGGTGTAAGGTACGGTACCTCATGCAACAGCGGGACGGCGCGTCGAGAAAAAAGTCGCGTCTGCTGCCTGCCCAATCAATTAAAACAGCTGTCAAGCGCAACAGGTGCCATTGGTAGACGTCATTCATAGTGGGGCTTCTCATATCATTCGCACACTATGCATTTGGACAACGGGCGCAGTCAAGAAGGTGCTGTGGCGGGTAAAAACACAGTGCGGTTGTCAGACCAGCAAGGTGCCTTACACAACGAGACAAGTCTCAGGCTTGAACTATCACTTCAGCTTCTTCACCAAACCTCACTCAAATGGAAATGAGTTTAAATTATTGATTCGCGAGAATGGTCGACTGGAAACCTTTCATTGGGCGGTTTAGTCAATGCACCTCAATTTCGTAGGGCACACACAAACCGATCTTGCTCCTAAAGAATAGCTGTCCTAAGCTAGTCTTAATCTTGGTCTTGGCTCATCATCGTTATCCTCATGGCATGAAACGAAGCCTCATGTTTGTGTACAAAATATGGCTTGAGGTGATTGGAGAGTAGAGAAGAAATAAGCCCATATCGATCTCATGAAGATACACCCTCTCGAAGTTTGCTGTCCCTGTCATCATATATGAGAGGAAATGTAAAGTGTTATCGTCTACCTTACACGGATGAGATCTGATGGGAGGCCATCGGGCTTTCATAACTCATCATGAAAGATTCAGACGAGGATAGAGGCGATGAAACAGAGAAACTGAAAAGAATAAGCAACAGAAGGTCTGTGGGTCTTTGCAGTGAGTTTGACGAGGTCGATGAGTATGAGATGCACGCATAGAAACGCGGGAGAATGTTCCTTTCAAGATGAAAGCCCAATAAGGAAGGCGGGGTCAAAGACGCGGGCTCTTGCGGTCGGAGGGTCCCACTTCCCGCCGTCCACGGCCCGCCATGGCACCAGACCGAAGGTACCTTATGGAGTACAGCACCTCAAGACAGGGCAGTGGAGGGCATCTTTTGAAGTGAGGTGATCACTGAGTGAGAGCCTTACCGCCCCAAAAAACCAGAGACTACCCCGCCATAGGCAGGAAGACCTTCAGCAACCAAATTGGAAGGCATCGCTCGTTGGCTCTTACCCCACCATCTCGGCTTCAGCCTTGCTCGCTCCCACCCCTCCGAAGCTCTTTTCCACCATTTTACTTCCTCCCTTCCCAACTGACCTCACCACTGCAACAGCGACTTTCAATCTCACGCACCTCGTCACGTCTGACCTGCACGAACTTCACCTCGTCTCCTCAACAAGCGGCTTACCCACGACCTTTCCCTCTCTGCCTCGAAGCATATTGCCCTACCGCCGACACCCTCAGCTCGTCGCATCGTCACCGACTGTTGAAAGCGGCCGATTGCGTCACGCGACTCCCTCAACTCACGTACAAACCAGGAAGACAGTCTTGGGCGATAAGGCCACACGCAGACGGAGGTAGAACTGCTGCGAGCACAATGGCGCCGACATCGACCTCCCAGAAGGCGATGACCACCCAGTTCGTTCAGTTGACGGGTGCAAGCGACAGAACTGCACAACGGGTGAGTCCAAGCCTAGAGAAGAATACACTATCGCTATCGGTGTCTCGGTTTCTTGTCTACCATGCGACGCACGCGCTTTCCCAGCTCCTCATCGTCCTCCTCGGTTCGCAAGACGTGAACCTCGTTATTGAATTGATGGCGAAACGTCGAAGCCTGTCGTGCGCCGCTACTCTACGTTGCGCTGCATTGCGCTGTGCTGTCTAGTGGCCGGACCATGACTGGGCATCGACGCGATACTGCCTTGGCGGGGAAGGGGGGCTGCTGGTAGAAGACGAGACCGCCGCCCACCGGGCCGTTGGATCTTCAAGACGGAATGGAATGCTGACTACAAGCTTCCAAATAGTACCTGAAGAACGCCGGATACAAGCTCAATGAAGCTGTTGATGCGTAAGTGCAACTCACCCGATATACTACATTGGGTTTCTTATTTTTCTACGCCTCGGTTTTGTTTCGTTTCGTTTCATTTGGTCTCGCTCGCCCCCCGTTGTTTGCTCGACATGGCCGTTTCTGCCATCGCCTTTTACCGCCCGTATAATGTTATCCGAACCACTCATCTCACCATGCGCCGGCCCTTCTCGGGCAATTTGGCCTGCAGCGCACGCAAGGATACCGCGTTAGCCCATACTTGACTTGCTCGGGTGTTGGCCCGGTCTGAGATGCCCTTTGTGGGGGAACCGCCGTCGAACCCCCCTCGGAGCGCTACTCAGCGTTGCGCTGCTCCAATGCACCCGTCAGAGAGAGGCACCTCTGCAGCTACGAGGTCACAGTTCACTCTTTGGGGATACATTGTTGCCCACACCGCAGGAGAAAGGCCGAGTCGACGCCGATTGACAATTGCTCCTGAAACATACACGCGGATGAAATAGCTCTTAAAGCAACGAACTGCCGTGGCAGCCGCCACCGTCGTTGCTTGGATCGGCCATCTCCCGTCCATTGGTCGATCTAGTTGACGCAAGTGCCTCGCCTTTCCGGACTGGGCCGGCTGTCACCCCGGTGCCACTCATATCCGACTACCTCGAAGGTCACGGTCCTTTGTATGGAGAAATTGGCTAGCATCCATCATCTTCCCAAGCCTCCCGTCACAAACGGCCACAGGCAGTCAGCACGTCTTTGCTTCTTCGAGCCTCCATCAGTTATTTTGGTTCCGCACCAAACGGCGTGCTTCGTTCTTGGTTGCGCCGGATCCCCTAAGCACGTTGGGACTGCTTGACGCCGAGACAAGAAAGGAGCATCAAGACGATGGGGTGGAAAGGGGTGAAGAATGCCTTGTCTATCAAGGGCTCGAGCTTGTGGCCTTCAAGACGCAAGTCCTCAAAAAATAACCTCGTCGCTGAGGAGAAGAATCAGTCTGGGTATTCCACCCACTCAGTCTGCCATGCCCTGCGCAAAGTTGCCAGCTGACATTCGCCTCTTGAAGCTTCATGAGCCCAACTTTGTTTACGTTTTCATGGACTTGTTGTCCCTTTTGTTGCAGAAAAGCATTGACTGACAAGTCCTAAAGATACTTCTCTGGCGGTAGTGGAACTTCCACACCCACGACTTCAGCGCTCGATACTTCGTTGAATCAAATGTTCGACAAGCTACGAGGTATCATCTCACAGCCTGGCCCCTCCGTTCCATGACTAACAGTAGGTAGATGACTCAAGAGACGAGAAGAACACACTGGGCCTTGACACTACGATGGCGTACCTCGGCGACCTGGGTGTCAACATCGAGAATGCTGAGCTGCTAGTCGTGATGGAACTCCTTCAGGCACCTTCTGTTGGAGAGATTACCAGAAAAGGCTTCGTTGATGGCTGGAAGGCGTCTGGGTACGAGTACCTTTTTCAGCGTCAGTCAACAGTAGACTAACATGACAATAGTGCTGCAACGCGTCAAGCACACGTCTCCCACATCAAGTCACTGGTCAGCAGTCTTTCAACTGACCCTGCTTACTTCAGAAAGGTGTACCGGCACACCTTCGTTGCCAGCAAGGAGCCGACCCAGAAGGCACTCAACCTTGAAATTGCTACAGTCTACTGGAACGTCCTCTTTTCGCCACCCGGCTGGGAGTGGAAGACGAAAAACCAGGAGTGGCTGCAGCTGTGGTTGAAGTTCCTCGAAGAGAAGTGGACCAGATCTGTTAACCGTGACATGTGGAACCAGATTCTCGAGTTTGCGACCAAGTCCATGGCAGATGAGACATTGTCTTTCTGGAATGAGGATGGAGCATGGCCCAGTGTGATTGATGACTTCGTGGCTTGGTGCAAAGAGAGAGGGATTGGCAAGTCCGAGACAATGGACTTGGACGCCTGAAGGCATTTACAGCAGACCATGGATCGGTCTCGCCACACGAGGCCGAAACTCACGACCAAAGGTCATCAAGATAATGACTGGGACGAATCCGACGACGATAGGAGGAGTGCAAATCAGCACCCCTTCCCCACACACTTGGTACATATCAGCGGGACGTCGTCTATCGACAGCCAGGCCGCTGAAACCACAGAGAAAGGCTGCATCGAGAGGCCAAATATCATGACCAGTGGTAGAGATTTTCAGCATTAGCCTAGCGCATGCAGTTATGGACTGCGAATAACAGATTGACAAAAGCTCAAGTGCAGGGGGAAAGTGCATGGTTCTCAATGCAGTGATTGAGATAAAACTTTGACGTCCAATTTGTATCAGTGGCGTGCCACGTATTTATACACTCCGAACTATAGTCGGCTCTATTCATGCGCAATCAAATGTCCCCGGCACCGGCTCGGGGGTGGATCCCGTATCATACAACAACTGTCATTTTGAGGCCCGCGAGCCACGATTCACGTCTTCCACGCGAAGGGGAATCATACACCCCACGCTGTGCGGTCTCCCACTCTTTATCCGCGGCGGTGATGATCCGCAAATTCCCTTTTCTCTTTCCATGCCCCTCTCACGTCTTGGGGGCCGTCTTTTTTTCCTTTCTTCCCCTGAAAACGCGCTCATTGATCCCACTTGACGTCTCCGAAGCGGGCCATGGTCTCGAGTTTGCCATCGCCGAGCTTGACGTGGGCGGTGCGGATGACGCGGGGGTCGAGGTTGATGGTAGTGCGCATGTCGTTGTGGGTGGCAGAGGAGGCGTCGTAGCGCATGACAAAGTAGTGGCCCGCCTTGTGCTTCATCTGGGCCTTTGCGACGGGGCGCGGGAGGGTGAAGACGCCCCAGTTGGAGATGCCACGGATGACGCCGCCGTTGCGGAGGACGATTTGGCCGGCGGTGAGGGCGATTCTGTAGAGGTAAATTGGTTAGTGATCGGAAGGGCATTGCGGAATGGGTAGGGTAGGGTTTGCGATGGTGGACGGCGGGAGGTATCGAGGCGTTGGGATCGAAGGGGGTAATGGGTAGAGATGGAGGGATCGCGTACTCTTTCACCTCGGCGAGGGAGCCCGGTCGCACCTGTGGTGATGTTAGTGACTTGCTCGAGACGACATGTATCGATAGGAGAGTGGGGCAGCGGCTTACAATTCCTATGAGTTCGTACAACATCTTGATATCGACATTGACGCTATACTGGGGATGAATCGAGGTTCGGAAGAAGCTCCAATCGACGATTGCCAAATTATTTCGGGAGTCTATGCGCCACAGTGTGGAATTTTCCGAAATGTGGCCGGTGCTTCGACAACATACACAGTAAAATATGGGGTGAAGGGAGCTTCAGCCACAGCCGTGTGGCGCGTGATCAAGTTGATCATTGGCACTGTCCCCGCGGACGAACCGGCCAATCCAGGTGACGGAAATGTCAGCACTGGGTCTATCGATGGGGTTCACGGTTCAACTCAGTCACGGCTCAGATGTAATTAGGCTTCATGGGAGCATGATTACTTATTTACACGGTCTCTTTAACGAGAAGCCAAGCTAGTCTTACACTGCACTCTTACATAGCCAACCCATTGATGTTGTAACACCGTCGGATAAGTGATTATACAGGACCATGTTATTGTGGCCACTTAGATCTGGCTCTTGCTCGTCGCACGCCACAGACGCCAAGGCAGTTTCCAGCTCGGCTTCACCGTCCACGGGTCAAAGTTGGTCCCCTCGAGATTCGTCAGGTACTCCTGCGCGGGCACAGCCTCAAGTAGCACTCCGAACCCTCGTCGAAGGTCCCGCTGCGTGTCATCCTCTTCCGGCTCGTACACGTGCTCCGCCTCTCCCTGGTGTTCAAACTCGTGACCGGCATCCTGCCCAGCCTTGAGATTCTTAAGCATCTCCCGCGCCGTAATGAGGTGGTCGTTGGCCCGCGTAGCCACCTTGAACACGGCGTCCTGGAAGCCCTCTGCCTGCGGGCCGTATCGAAAGACATCCTCCTCCCGCAGGTTGACCTCCGCCATGACATCCAGCGGGAGGAGAAGCGCGGGATCCTGTCGTCCGCCGCCCGGTCCGGCATGGGATTTCGCGGGCTGCTGCTGCGGCGCCGCCAGCACCGGGATACCGCGCAGGACGGCCACGATGCCGCACGCCTTGCCAATGTGACTCGCCAGGTGATCCACCTGCATGGAGCGAAGCGGCATCGACGCCAGCGTAGCGTACATGAGCGTCGAGTACGTGTTCTCAGCATACTCCTCCAGCGCGGCCAGTGACGCATACGGCCTGTTGTCCATGTGCTTCGCCCGCGTCTTGACGAGCCGCTGCACCCAGAACTTGATGGAGCTCGCCGTGGCGTTACCTGGCGAGCGTGCGCGCAAGTCCTGCAGCGCCTGGTGGAGGAGTACGCATATCGGTTCGGCCGGGGGCGCGCCGGCAAAGGTCTTGTCGATGGAGTCGCGCCAGAACTGCATGCGCATCTGGCCGATGGTCGGGTTCGAGACGAGCTCGGGGAGGCGGACGAGTTCGAGGTTGAGGCTGCGGAGGGCGAGGTAGGTGTCTGTTGCGCGTGCCGGGACGAGGCGGCTTATTATGTGTGCATCGTAGTCGCTGTGCCTTTTTGGGAAGTCAGCATCTTTTGGAACGGTCAAGTTCATGATTCCGGGGACAGGATGCGGACGTACTGTAGCTGCGATTGGCAGTACTTCCTCGCCTTGACGACGTCTGCGTCTGTGACGATGCCCCTGGTGCTCCGTGGAGGGGTCTGGACGGGCCTTCTCAGGCCATGGCCGGCGATCCGTGTTGTGCGATTCATTCAGGAAAAGACGCTGGTGACATGCGCCATGTCGGTGCTGCTTCTGAAATTCGCGAGATGCAACTGGATAGAGAGCTGTGGGGCCTGATTTTGTGCCTGCTGCCGCTGCTACACTGTGTAAGTGCACTAAAACTTCGAGGTCGAACTTTTGCAGTTGCGAGTAGTGACGTCTTTGCTGGGATGTTTCTTAATTGACTTACCTCAGCAGACACGCAGTCACATGATGACCCGACGCGCCCGTCGCGCTGATTGATTCGCCTCGCGTCTCCCGTCTTTCCTTGCCCAGGTAGTTTTTGTGGCGGTTCGTCTCATTCAGTGTCAGTGGCACACCACCCAATACGACCCGCCATCGTGGAAACTTTCATGGCGGCGACTTGAACAGCCATGGAATATCCACAGTCTCCTGAACCTCCGGCGAAGAGGAGACGCTTCTTTGCCGCCTCGGACGACGATGTGTTGAGCCATCAGTCCAGCCCAGTGCTGCCCACCCCGCCAACGCAACCGAAGCAGCGATTCTTCCAAGATGTCGACGACCAATCACCCCAAATCAAGAGCGAGGATGCTGAACCCCCGTCTTCGCCCTCTAAACCACGCGGACCGCTCGTAGAACAGCCAGTCGACGATGCCTCCAACCGATCCGGCCCGTCTGCAAATATGCAGCGCGAAGAGTCCGCCATGACGTTCGATCAGGAGACCTTTGAGAGCTTCATAGGAGACAAGGTCACGGCGGAGGTGCTGGATATAATTCGGGATAGTTGCGACAATAATCTCGAGCGAGCCGTCAACATGTACTTCGATGGCACGTGGAAGAACCTCAAGAAGAAATCCCCGGCTCTCAATGCCGTCTCTCGATCCCCACCAGCCGCAGCGAACAGCACGAAGCAAGATTCTGCCATGGAAGACGCGCCAAAGCCAGTGATCAGACGAACGATGCCCGAGGCGCGGTACATCGGTTCCCTCGGTGTTGAGGGTTGGGCAACACGGAGCGGAGCAAACCTTTTGAACCACGGAGATGTAGTCAGGATTGAGCGGCAAAAGATCCAACCGCCCAAGTCCAAGTTACACACCAAGTTCGGTGTCGCGAACGCTCCTCAGCGTGGCCCAGCTGCGGGTTCAAAGCGAAACGACGTTTTAGTTCGATTTACAAACAGCAGCGGGTCCGAGATTGGCAGGTTGGAGAAAGAGACAGCCGAATGGGTCTCAACGTTGATGGACCAGAAGATATGCAAGTTCGAGGGCACCTGCGTGTACGCCCCTGAACGACTGCGAACGAACGACACCGTCTTCATTCAGTTGAAGTGTTATCTGCTTGCCTCAGCGTTCCATCGGCCTGGATTCAAGGAGGCGGAAAACAGGGCGACCAATTTCTTCGAGGAGAAAGAGTCGACCGAGGAAAAGGAGCTGCGCCTGAGGCAAGTGGCATTGGTGAAGCTCTTTTCTGAAATCAACCTTGAACCAACGCGGGCCAATGCCACTGCGTCGAAACACCAGCGGCAAGGCTTGCTACAGGCTGCAGAGATGGATGAGAAGAAGGAAAAAGACGCTGCCAAGCCAAGCGACAGAGCGCCCGGGTCCTCGCCCCCCTCAGACGAGCAAGAGGAGGGTGAAGAGCTGGAGCAAGACCAGCTTGATGCTCTTTACCGCAAGGCCCAGTCATTCGACTTCAACACACCCGAAGCGGAACCTGCAGATACCTTCGCTATGAACCTCAGACCCTACCAGAAGCAAGCGTTGCATTGGATGATGACCAAGGAAAAGGACCAGAAGAGCAACAGGGAGCCAAGCATGCACCCCCTGTGGGAGGAGTATTCATGGCCACTCAAGGACACTGACGAAAAGGAGCTTCCTCAAGTCCATGACCAGCAGCATTTCTACGTCAATCCATACTCGGGAGACCTCTCTCTCGATTTCCCTGTTCAAGAACAAAACTGCCTCGGCGGTATCCTGGCTGATGAGATGGGTCTTGGCAAGACCATCCAGATGCTCAGTCTAGTCCACACCCACCGCTCTGACATCGCGCAGCAAGCCAAGGCGATTGGTGGTGTTCCCACGTCCGTCAACGAGCTTCCAAGGCTTGCATCCAACTCATCAAGCGTGCTAGATGCGCCGTGTACAACACTCGTTGTGGCGCCGATGTCATTGTTGGCGCAGTGGCATAGCGAGGCTGAGAAGGCCTCGAAAGAACGCACTCTCAAGGCCATCGTGTACTATGGCAACGAAAAGGCCAATAACCTTCAGGCCGTATGTTGCGCCGCAAGCGCAGCGTCTGCGCCTGACGTGGTCATCACCAGTTATGGTGTGGTTTTGTCAGAGTTCAACCAAGTTGCGGCTAAGAAGGGTGACAAGTCGTCCCATACCGGATTATTCTCGCTCAACTTCTTCCGCGTCATTTTGGATGAGGGCCATCACATCAAGAACCGCCAGTCGAAAACTGCCAAAGCGTGTTACGAAATATCCGCCGAGCACAGGTGGGTACTGACTGGAACGCCAATCGTCAACAAGCTGGAGGATCTGTTCAGTTTGGTTCGTTTCCTTCGTGTGGAGCCTTGGAATAACTTTTCGTTCTGGAAGACTTTCATCACCGTCCCCTTCGAGTCCAAGGACTTTATGAGGGCACTTGATGTGGTGCAGACCGTGTTGGAACCTCTGGTTCTCAGACGTACCAAAGACATGAAGACGCCTGAGGGCGAGCCGTAAGTGGATGCATCCTGGACTGTTACGCCTTGACTAACCCTTGGAAGACTGGTACCGCTCCCACCAAAACATGTTGAAATTGTCGATGTCGAGCTCAGTCAGACCGAACGAGAGATTTACGACTACATCTTCACGAGAGCCAAGCAATCGTTCAGAGAGAACGTGGAAGCAGGCACGGTTATGAAAGCGTTTACTAGCATTTTTGCCCACATTCTGCGCCTACGACAGTCTTGTTGTCACCCAGTTTTGGTACGAAACAAGGAGCTCGTTGCGGACGAGGTAGAAGCTGGAGCTGCGGCCGATATGGCTGCCGGCCTTGCGGACGACATGGACCTAGGTTCCCTGATTGAACATTTCACAGCAGCTATATCCGAAACGGAATCCAATACAGCTGCTTTTGGAGCCCATATCCTCGGCCAGATCCGCGACGAAGCCGAGAGCGAGTGTCCGATCTGCGCCGAAGAGCCTATGGTCGAACAGACGGTCACTGGATGTTGGCACTCTGCTTGCAAGAAGTGCCTCCTGGACTACATGAAGCATCAGACAGATCGGCATAAGGTGCCGACCTGCCCCAACTGTCGAGCCGAGATCAACTACCGCGACCTATTCGAGGTTGTTCGCCACGACGACGACCCGGATGTGTTCAAGAAATCCAAGATTAGTCTACAGCGCTTGGGTGTGAACAACTCCTCGGCCAAGGTCGTGACTTTGATCAAGGCCCTGCGTGACCTGAGAAGGGAGCAGCCGCGGGTCAAGTCTGTTGTCTTCAGCCAATTTACATCGTTCCTGACACTGATTGAGCCGGCTTTGGCGCGGGCGAACATCAAGTTCCTCCGCCTCGACGGATCCATGGCGCAAAAGGCTCGCGCGGCGGTCCTGACTGAGTTCCAAGAGTCAAAGACGTTCACCGTGCTGCTCATCAGTCTTCGTGCTGGTGGCGTGGGGCTGAACTTAACGTCTGCGAAGAGGGTGTATATGATGGATCCCTGGTGGAGCTTCGCAGTTGAGGCTCAGGCGATTGATCGTGTGCATCGCATGGGCCAAGACGAGGAGGTCAAGGTCTACCGCTTCATCGTCAAGGGGAGCGTGGAAGAAAGGATGCTTCGGGTCCAGGACCGGAAGAAGTTTATGTGAGTTGACCCATCCGGTGTGCTGGATGACCGAGTATTTGCTGACTTGATACCCTTAGTGCTACGTCTTTAGGAATGATGAGCGACGAGGAGAAGAAGCTTGCACGGATCGAGGACATTAAGGAGCTTCTCAGCTAAGGGAAAAGTCTCACGTAATGGTTCTCATGGCTGGCATATGTGCATTTGCAAGGCGTTCTTGGGGAAATTGCCTAAGATGGCATGATCAATGATAAACATAGTGTACCTAGTGCTCGGCGCCGGTGGAAGAGGCCGGCTCAGCACGAACTTGCCGATAATACGGCGCAAGTATTTCAAATGGACATATTCAAGTTCGTTTCCTGTGTCTGTTAGTAAACGGTTCGCAGGAGTGTGAAATGTTGTGCTAGGTTTGACGTCGCACAACGATCCATGAGCGAGCATGACATTACTCTCAGTGAAGTTCTGAAGCACTTGCCCGGAGGACGAGCTCTTGGTGATGGAAGAAGTTTTGGACATTGAAATTTGTAGTAATCATTTCCAAGTCGAAGAAGCGCCCGCAGTTTCACCCCCAGCTGGCCTTCGCGTATAACTGTTCCTCCACATAGCTCACACTTTGAAGCCAAAACCACAGGCACTCAAGCAACCGTATTCACCAAAGATGTTCTGGACTTTGGAAATAAACCAGAATAAACGCCGGATCATCCAAAAGTCCACATGCAATGTCTCTTAGGCAGCGAAACATATTTTCCGACGATAACCCGCTTTTCCTCGGGCTGCCTCACACGCTGCGCCTAGTCTGTGACTCTGTCGCTCTCACCTCACTCGCTCATTCAGTCAGTCACCAACAAAAACATCAATCACACTGCCCAAAAACAAAAGACAACTGAGCCACGCTGAATCCGCACCAGACCGCGGGTCATTTTGAAAACAGAAAAAGTCATTTTACCCTCTGCCTGCGCAAAGTTGGAAACTGCGACCAACTGACTACTTAATACTCAGCAGTTCTGCTCAGCGCGCCTGGGTGCTACTGTCTCACTTGCACACAGGCAGACGGACACTCAATCACATGAGAAAACACCATCACCACATGACCAACAACCACCCGCGCGACTCGCAGCGCCACCAACGACCAAGCTAAGAAGCTTTAACCTGCATGTCATCCTGCTACCGAATCGGGAGAAGAAAAATCGAGGAGGGGCCTCAGAAAAGAAAAAGAAGAGCGATTCATTTCCTCTTTTCTCTCTTTTCCCTTTCATTCTTTTGCTCCCTTACTATCCAAGACTGATTCACTTACACCACTAAGCGCTTGCTCTCGACAACTTATACACTCGCTCAACAGCTCACATTTTACTACATTCGCACAATCAACACAACGAAACCCAATGCATCCCGATCCCCCGTGGTCATGGATGGCTTACTACGCACACTAACACGCTCCCGCAACACCGCGCCGTCTCCGAACCGCGGCAGCCGCAACCGCAACCGACACAGCGGCGGGAGCGGAGGCGGAGGCGGCAACAACCACGGCCAAATCGAAATCATTATTGAGACCCTCGCTCGAGGACTCGTCGAGTATGCGGTCCAGAAATACATGAAGAAGCTGAGCGGCGGCGGCGACGAAGATAAGAGCGGAGGAGGACACAAAAACGACGGGCGCCTTAGCACGCGCAATACCCATGGCCGCGACGATAACGAGCGCGCTAGAGGCGGCGTTCCGAATATGGACATGGAGATGCTGGAGCACCTGGGCAAGAACATCCTCTCCAAAGCTATGGAGCGCTTCGGTGGCGGTGGAGGGGAGGAGTATGAAGAGGAAGACGCGAGACGGAGACATGGCAAGGGACAGAGAGGCAGCCGAGACCGCGACTCATACTCTCGTGGACATTCGCAAGATCGTTCCCACGGGAGAAGACACGGCGGCGGCGGCGGCAAAGATGAAGATCACACCCGGGACCGGAGAAGACGCCACAGCCGCGACGACGGGTACCCTTCACACAGACCCGGCTTGCCCTCCTCGCCGTCAAGACACCACCGCGGCGACGAAGAGAATTCCCACCGCCGTCGCCGACGCGGATACGGAACCGACTATACGCCGCTCAAAGAGGAGATGGAGACGCTGTCCAACACGCTCATCTCTTTGAACGAGCGACAGCCCGGACACGCCGACTGCGAGTTTTACGATGCGTTTGTGGAGCGCTCGGGCAAGGTGCAGGAGGCTATCGGGTCTGTCTTGGTGCAGATTCGGGAGAGGGAGGAGAGGAGGGAGGAAAGGCGTGGTCGGCGGAGGGGTTGAGGGGGGCGGTTGCTATCTTTTCCTCGGGGAAAGTGCGTATATGAGATACCCAGGTTCTCTTTTCACGTACATAGATTGACGGTTTGGAATGGCAATACCCAGTAGCACGGAGGCAATACCCAGATTTCTCTTTACTTTGAATTTTCGGCAGCGATGAGGTCGAAGGGGTGGATGGATGGTCTGACGCATGGTTTGTACCATAATGTAGAATCTAGAATAGTTGCAACCTCCCTCCCGTCCCGTCTTGTTTGCTACCTGAGCTACCGCAAGCACGTGTTGGGGATGCGGAGGACGCAAAGTCGGTAATGGCAAGCTTGTATTAGATAGGCAAACGCAAACATGACTGGCTACCGATCTTGTGGTGATTTGATGCGTGTGCTACGTTCCGATTGTTTGGAACTTGCTTTCTGGGGATCATGGGGGCGTGCTTGAAACGGTTTTCATGACTTCATAAAGTGTCAAATTGCTGCGGATATGTCGCTTGCTTCGACAGCTTCAAGTATGCGGAGTGTGTCTCATTGCCTCTTCTAAAGATTCATCTTCGAGCAAACTGGCAACTGCACTACCAAGCTTATGGGAGGCAGACGATGATTCATACAATTATCGTCCACTTCCCTCTGAGATGGAAGGGAAGAACACAGTCATGGAAATGCGAGAGGCAACAAGCAGATGACTTTCTCACGAGAAACGGCACGAGCCAGCTGAGGCTAGACCTCAGCCGCCCCTGACATGGCGCCAATACTAGCACCCCCCGTTCCGGCAAGCAACCTGGTACGTCGCGGCGAGGAGGGCAGGATAGCAGGAATGCTCATCGGCTGTCTCGTCGGAGGCCTAGCCGCCGTGAGCCTCATATACTTCTGCTGCAACTGCGTCTTCTCTCCCAAACCACGCAGGAAAACGGACCATCAAGCACAGCATATCCAATCTCACAAGCCTCATATACATAAGCCTCACATCCACCACGTACATCCGAAGCCGAAAATGGATGCCCACGTACACTCCCCTCGGCACCCGCAGGTCCACGGGTGGACGCATCATCATCACCATCACCACCATAAACACGGCCATCATCATCACCATGCTAAGGGCAAGGCCAAGCCCAAGAAGGCTTGCAAGAAAGCAAAGCAGAAAGCCAAGGCGAAAGCCAAGCGGCGAAGTAAACGACCTTCGCAGCCTCGCGAACCTACGATACGGTTCATGCCTATGCCTCCCATGACGGCTATGCCGATGCATCCAGCTCCGGTAGCTGGTATGGGGATGGGAATGGGCATGACCCCTGGTATGGACTTGCCGCTGGGCGATGGCTTCATCGACTACGGGCCGGCGCCTGACCAGGACATGGGATTAGAGATGGGCTGGGGCATGGACCCCAACTTTCGACTGGAGCAATTTGCCACGGAAGATGAAATACATGGCGACAGGGAGGTGACTTGTAACGAGTGCTGCTACTCGTTTTTCGATTCTTTGTGTGGTATCCCGCCGGAAGCTCGAGATCTGAGAGGGGAGGCTGCTGGTAATGGGGCTATCATTGCGAATGACAATGAGATGGAGGCCGTGTGATCTATATAGTGATGAAGCCGTTCTTTCGAGGGAGGCATATTGCGAGGTTCGGCCCTTCGGAGCAAGGGGCGATTGTTCCAAACACGAATCTTGAGGCTGAATGGCAAGGCCATTGTTCACATAGAACCAAGAGATACATAGGTCGAGCTTCTTTAGGCAAAGAATAAAACAATCATCAGTTCAAGCTTGTACACACCGCAAACGTACAGCACTACTGGGTTCAGTAGGAAAGGTAGTGGCGCCTGGGTTCGCCTTGAAATTCCATCTGCCAACTCCCGCTCCGGACAAATGTCAAATCCTGAATCATACAACTCACATCAGGCCATGGAATCCTTCTTTCATGTAAGTCTTTTGATGCTTCATGGAGAAAGTCTAAACGTACCTGAGACTTTCTTTTACAAGCCCTCTCCCTGATATTGTAAGCCTCACTTGGGGGGTGAGGGTGTAACCTCCACCCAAGACTACTTCTCAGCCGGTGGGTCGGCTGGGGTACCAGCTGGAGGGTCGGCTGGAGCATCGGCCGGAGGGTCGGCAGGGGGATCAGCAGGCGTGGCAGACGGGGCGGTAGAGCGTGGCGCGGAGGGCGGCCCTCGAGGAGGTGGATGAGAGGCGGGGCCGTCGTCGGCCGAGCTCTTTGAGCTCCTAGAGCTGTATGATTTGTGGGAGTGATGGCGTCGGCGACGACGGTGCTGGCGGCGACTGATCTTTTTGAGGGACACTCTGTAATAGTAGAGAAAGGCTCCAGCGCCCAAGATGAATACGAGGATGGCCACCCCGACCGTGACTCCAACCGTCAAGTTGGTGGTCTCGCCACCTGATATCGAGACCTGTCTCTTTGCGACGATATTGTTGGGTTTGTCTACACGTGCTGCCACCTCGAAATCGGGAGAGCGAGGCTCTGTCCCAAGACCGAAGCTCCTTGGCACTCGGCCATTGAGGGGTTGGGGGATATACATTCAGTGTCCGGGGAAAGGTGGCCGGTGATGATGTTGGGTCGAATAATCAAAGATATAAATGGTACAATAATGATCAAAGTGTCACGAAAGAGGGTGGCCGGAATCGTACGAAAAGAATGGTTTGTGACATGGTGAACGTGGAAGCAGAGAAAGAAGAACAGCCTGCGTAGCAGATAGAATATCAAAGGTCCACGAGACATATTTAACCTCAATATCCCTTGGGCTGCTACGGATGAGATGATGGGCAAGATGAACGGGGGTTACTGACGGTGTAAGGTAGCTGGCAGCTCGCCTGGGTTGAAGGAGGTTCCGTGGTGAATCCGAGAGGATAATACCGCGGGCGCATATGCAGAGAGTGGCATCGTGCAGCGAATGCGGAGGAGAAGGAGGAGGACAAGGGAGTGTAAGACTGTATATCCGCATCAAAGGAGCAGCCGAAAAACGAAGCCATTCTCCAGATGCAGCAGACTCAGGAGCAGGCTGGGCGCGATTATGCGCGGTCCATGCAGCTGCCAAACCAATGAACCGGTGGTAGGCGTGGCGATGGTCCCCTACCGCAGCGGTTCCCGCACTCGTCGGGCCGCTCGTAGCCCAAGGTAGTCTCTCGAAGCTATCGCTGATGGTGTCGTGGGGGGATACTTTCCGCCAGTCACATTGGGTGAGGCTTTCGTCTCTCATTCACCTGCAATGGGCTGATGGCTTCCTGCTGCTGGCGGCGACTGCACTGGCTGATCTTGGTCTGGCTGGATCGTCTTTCTCTTCTTCTTGAAGGTTCGGTAGTCGCCCCTCCAGAGCGTTCTTCTGCGTTAACGGACGTGATAAGTGAGCAAAGGGCGGTGCGGTTGGAGGCAAATACGGAGATCGCAGTTGGCTGGTTGGGCATCAAGGCTATCAAGGGGCCAATTGGTACCCGCCGCCCAGCTGAGCTCGCGATCGAACACGTCGACAAGTGCCAAAGGCTAATTGAGGCCTGTCTGGAGTAGGCAGCGGGGCTTGCGGGTGTCCCATCGTGGAAAAAAGGCAAGTCGGTGACGGGGATGTTGGCGGATGGATCTCACGATGGATCCTGTCCACCTCGTTTTCAGGTGCCAGCAGTGAGTTACGAAGTACAGCTCAAGAACTAAGGTACCTCAGGTGCTCAGTTGGAAACCTGCGGACCTTGAGGGACGCTGTAACGACTTGATTGTCTAATTGAGCTGATGACTCAGCAGCCCCACCATCTCCTGCCTCTTCTTCCTCAACTTCACCTTTCCAACCCATCCCATCCTCTTCATTGCAACTACGGAACGAAATCATCATGCTCATTCTTTCAGCCACGCCTCTCGCTCCTTGATCCTGAATTATACCGGGATTCCTCATCAGGGAGCGAACCAATCAAGGTGGCCGTTCTGGGCCGAACAGACAGGGCGAACAAGCAGCGGTCTCCCAGCCAGTCGGCCTACACCACGAGCCGCCGTGCAGCTGCATCCTGCAGTCGTCTACAATCTCTCGTCTTTGGCCCAATTGGGCATCACATTCTGCAGCCAAACGACATTTAGAACCGTGGTATCGTCACCTGGTCACCATGAAAGAGACTCTGAGCAAGTGCCATGTGTCTTCCATGCACAATGTCTTGCAGCTTGGACCAGAACCCAAGGGGCCCCTTCTCCTGACGCCAGGGCATTGTGCTGCGAGTTGGAAGAAAGAGTCATTGCTATTATTATTTCCGCCGATACGCAAAAGTTGTATCTTCTCCCTTTGGACTTATTGTCTTTTACGAGTTGAAACAATTTTGCCGCCGCAAGCGACCGCCAATGTGGACGACTCTAGATCTTCGCGACCGAGATGCCTGGTATCACCTACTCCTTTTCAAAAGTGTCAAAGAAATGGTTTGCCGTTGGTCTTTGATGAGTTCTCTGAATGTTGTAAGAATGCCTGAATATCCCTCGAGGTTCTTTCGACACTGAGACTACGAGCCGGATACTCAGCCCAGCAACTTGTGGTTCTAACTCCCTTGACTATATCATCACCATTTTCCTTTTTAAAAAGAAAGAATAACCAAACTACCGTTGGCTTGACACGGTTCTCTTTTTTTTTTTTTTTTTTGCTAATCTTTAGATCTTGCTGACGGACTACTCGGCACCGTCGCCACCCTCAACCTCACGTTTACCATGTGTATCCTTCTCACGAGAAACTTTAGATGTTTTCCAGGTGGAACACTCTCGTGGCATACCTTTCAGTACATTGTTCGATGCGCCAGCCCGAGATACGCCGAGTGTCTGGACCCGAAAGCTCTGACCAAGCAATCCGAGGAATATGATATTGCCTGTCACGAATGCACCGGCAAATTCCTTCAGCCCTTCACCAAACCAAAGCGATTTACCGAGAGTATAGTTGATGAGAATTGCATAGAAGCACAAGCAGCCACTGAGCAATATGTCAAATCCATGGTCGAATTCCTCAATATGGCATTAATGGATGCGGGACAGCGGCTTCAGACTAGATTTGAAGGAAATGTGGATGATCAGTTTGTCAATCGAGTCAGCAAAATCGAGATAGCCTGCCGCTTCAACAAAGACCATGTCGAAAATGGTCCCTACTGCGAATGCTTGGAAACAGACGATGCCACCAAGGAGTTCGATACAAACAGAATCACTGAACTTCACAACAACGCTGCGGCTATGCGGCGGATTGTCTCTCAATCATATTTCTTCCCTTGGCGAGGGTTCTGGCCAGGTGCCAACACCGGCAATCGACTTGCGGATGAATTTAATCATCGATTGTTAGCCCACACCCGGAGGCCAGCCAACGACGGAGAGCTCGATCCAGATCGTCCATCTGTTGAACAGCACACTGAATCGCACCGCCAACAGCCCGGCTTCACTTTTTTAATCAACCTTGGCGACCGGAAGCCTCACGAAAGTGGGCAAATCACGGCCGTGCCTGTTCTGAAAAACGCCCTTGATATCATGGACCGAGTAAGTGTCCTTACGGCTCAACTGGCGGAGAAAATCGATTCTTTTGGCGGGAGAGACGAATGGGAACGCTCTCTAATTGGTTTTTTCCATGTACCATTGTTCGCTGACTTCGTCGCGGCCAACTTTGATACGCGCATGCAAGTTTCCAATCTTGTTGCGCATCTCCTGGCCCACGATCCAGGGCTGACCAGGGCACGAATCGCTTCCATCAGCCGAATATTCCTAGAATTCTGGCACGTCGACATAGACGTCATGCAGGCCAACCTCCCCCAAGACCTAGGCACATTATTCGTCAGACTGTTCAAGTGGAGTATGGTGTCCATTACCCAAAGGGGCTCTATTGGATTCCGGAGTGGTGCGTACGCAGGTGGCATGCTCACTGGCCCTGGCCACTACAAGCATACTGAGTATATCCTCCTACGCAACGCATCCTTGAGGTTTAAAGACGAGCTCTCCAGACAGAGCCTCCTCGAGAGTGTGGTCGCGCCGCTCAGGGAGGCGGAGCTTCAGAAACTGGACGACACGGACTGTTTTATCTGTATGGAGCCACTCGGCACAGGGCGAGATCCGCACGCAGCTGTGCGCGTGAAATGCCCTTCGAAAAACCATGTGGTGGGAAAGAACTGCTGGATGAAATCCCATCGCCGCAGGTCAAAATTCGACCCGAGGGAGTTGAAATGTCCCTTGTGCTCGGACTTCGTGCTGGGTGAGTGGAAGATGCCGTTCAATAATACGGAGCTTTGGGCTGGGGATCTGGTTCGGAAGACCGTGCCGCAGCTGCTCGAAGAGATGGGCCCTTCAGGTTATGCTGCGCTTTAGAATGCAACAGTAGTGCTCTTTGGTGTTGGTCATGTTTGATTTTGGTTCGGACATGTTGCAGCACCATGTTGATGCACATAAGACGTATGTATAATAGTACCCGGGAAGCTAGTAGGCATCATAGGTCGCTCGTATGCTATATCACTGTTTCACCAATGGCTTGAAATCTACAACGTAATCAACTCTCGTGAGGTCCTACCACACAGTCCATCAAGTGCTCACGCGATATGTGGTGTATTCCATGGAAGGCAACACGTCTCTTGACGACACATGTCGTAGCCCAGCCCTGCCCTGAGTTCGACACTGACGGCGGTAGCACATGATTGCGAAACATCAAATAATCTCCAACAATTGTGAATATCCATATTCTGTTGAGCCATGATTGATGGAAGACTTTTCGTTCCATGATCCGAGGCTTGGAGTAGCAATCAAGTCCCTTACTTTTACAGGATTAATATCTCGGACAAACGACGCGGCCGAGCTTCTTTGACTGATGAATGTATCGTACCGGATCCAGCAATTACAAACACACACTGTAAGTGCCCCTTGCTCCTCATGCGCTTCTCTAAGTCGAAGCTTCTGATGTGGCATATTATATAAGTTCTGTTCCATGGAGAGCCTTCCTTCTCCTCCTGAGCATCTTCAAAACAGTCACATTTCCTGACTCCGTTCATTCCAGTCAGCTTCATCTCTTAATTCCCAGCCCCTAACTCAGCCTAAATCTCTTTAGACCTCTTCACCAGTCCTTCAGATCTCTCACAACCATAGTCATGTACGTCTCCTCCCCTCGCCGCCGCCGCGCCCCAAACCCAATCCGCATCCGCCGCCACGCAAACAGCCCCCTCCTCGCCGGCCGCAGCCCCGCGCCCTGGACGCCAGACTATCCGGTTCCTCCGACCCCTTCCACGGTAGCGGCCCCGGACTCCGCCGATACCCCACCGTTCCCCCTGAGCCCCTCGTCCCCAACAGTTTCGACATGTAAAACGTTATGGGACACCGTTCTAGAGCGTACTTCCAATCAACCGTTCTCGGAGACAGCGGATCCGGGTTGGGGAACGAATCAGGATTGGGGGAATAAGTCGCCGTACCCCTCGACGAAGGACTCGCCGACATCAGAATGCTGGAGGCTTGCCGAGCTGGAGCGAGCGGAGGATAGCCCCGGCGCGATGACGCCCGGTGGTGCTCTTAGTCCTGGTACTGTGGGTATACCGAGGACGCCTGCTAGTACACCTGTTGCTGGACGGGCTGGGTCCGCGATTGCTGTTGGTAGAAGGGTAGGGGTGTCAAAGTTGAGAAGGGTTTTGTATTCTCCTGGGTTGCCTGTCTCGCCACCGTTACGGTGGTGGAAGGGCGAGGGGTATAGGCCGGTTCGTGAGACTGACGGGGAGGATGAGAGTGAGAGTGAGAGCGGTAGTGATGGTGGTTTGAGTCCTGTGTTGAAGCGTGTAAGACTTCAGCGGATAGGGACACGGGATGTGAAGACATGTGTTTGTCATGGTGCCGGGCGTGCGGTGTCTATCCAGTGGTGGAAGTATCCGCTGATTGTATTGCTGGTGGTGCCTATCTTGTTGTATATTACATGGAAAAGGAGGATTTGATGGTATTGTTAGTAGTCTCATTTTCTTATTTGTCTCGAGGGGACTTGGAGTTGATGAACATCGAGAGTCTTGGACATGGGAAAGCAGGCAGGACTGTGTTGATGAGGTAACATGGACTGGAATAAACGGCCATTGTCATCTCTGGAACCTGCCCTGGTCCTCAAGGCCATGGCACTTTCTTCGCGAAGCTTTGGAATAGTCTCGTGATTACGTACCCGGTACTGCTCATGGCGCCTTCCCGTCCCGGCAAGGTTGGATATCTGCGAGGAAGGCACCAAGGTCCTCGCCTTCCCGCAAACCGACGCCTCCTGTCTTACTTATTCGAAAGAGCCACAGATACTTCCATCAGCGGACACCCAGTACATGAGTGCGTGGCTCAATTGGGTGGCGGACAGGGTAAAAATATACTCGTGCTAGCAGGTCCTCCGTGAAACCTGGCGAGCGCTCTTGTTCGAAGCCCCTTGCAGGCAAAGAGCGTTGAACAGACCCCCCGGTCTGTTCGTTTTTTTGTTTTTTCAACATTTTGTATATAATCCTTTTGGTATTTTTAATTCATACAATTTTGCTGGTTCCGAGGATTCTTTTCCGGGTGGTTTCAAGAGCGTATCTGCTCTGGTCGTGGAGTGGCGGGCCTCGGAAGTGTGACGATGCTCTTTTTTTGTCTAAATGAACAGCAGAAGGAAGGTTGTGAGATTGAAGTAAGGTAGGAACTCGCACTCGACTTGGAAAGGGCTATTTCACCTGCCTACCTACGTACCCAGAGCCGACATGTTCATTCTCCTCTTGCCAACCATATCACTCGCATTTTACCAGACTACTATATTCACACCGACATCAACTACGACTACACCACGCCTTTACCGAAATTCAGACCCCTATTCAAGCATCATTTCATTATATCAGCTCTCAGAGACATGACAGACTTACATACCCGCCAGTTCTCCCACATCGAAGGCACTTCCACCAATCTCCTCGACCGCCTCGCCGTCTCTGAGCTCTGCAAAGGCTGGCCTGTCTACCGCGACGCAAGCGAATGGGAAAACTACCGCTCTCTCTTCACCAAGGATGCCTACGTCTGGACCAGTGCGTTGAGATATCGACCCCTTTTCACTATGCCACCGCCCTCACAAGTGGGTTAGTTGTCCCTTGAGCTGACGCTATATCGCATGTCACAGCTTGGAGCGGCCCGCAGCCCATCGACGACTTCATCTGTATATCCATTGCCGCCAAGTCATCAGGGGCCTTCATTATGCACCGCGAATGCGGCACGCTCGTCGAGCTGAACCCAGATACGGGGTGCGCCGTGGGGAAGATGAAGGCCACCATTACCCAGCGCTTCAAGCACCCCGACGGCTACGAGTACGATGTCGACTGCGACTGTCGGTTCCTCTTCTTCTACGAAAAGGCGGAGGAAGAACGAGGTGATGGACAAAGGGATTGGAAAGCTGCGTACGTCAAACTTGTCTACGAAAAAGACAAGATTGTTGCCGTGGACGGGATCAGGGCACCAGTCTTTGCGGACGAGGCGTTGGCCAAGTATCCTACTGGATACAAATACCTCGGAGTTGCGCAGAGCACTTTGGGGTACGAGATTGACATCAAGCTTGCCATGGGAGGGGATTTGAGGGCTTGCAGCAAAATGTACCAGAGTATGGAGAGGTGGTTGGAGGGGGAAGATGGTCCTGTTGGTCTTTTTGAGATTTGAAGAACTCTCGACTTCAAGGTCCAAGGAGAATACCAGTATCGCTCAGACTTGGCTTGAGGCCTGCTACCGTGTCTTGAGCCGGTACCTTGACCTCTAGAGTTCAACCTCAAAGAGACCATCATGAACAGATCCCAAGTATGGACGAAATAGCGTGTAAGAAATAGCCGTTATAGAGAACATTCACATGCTATTACACATCATTCAACATGATCGTTGAAGTAGTACAGGGTGACGGCATATCCTTGCATATCTCTCCCTGGGGTGTGCATAATATAGTGATTAGCTAAGCGCGCATGGCGCCATGGCGGACGGGGTGGCGGGATTTAGCTGTTAGATTTGTTTCTTCTTGGAACATTTCACCGACCCAAGACATGAGCTGGTGTGATTCCGAAGTGTCACAACGACGGTCGGGTAAGCGGAGAGGGACCTGGCAAACACTGACGCAGCTCACACGAGAGAGGAATGTTGGTGATCGCGTAGTGGCGTTGGTTTGTATCTATTTGTGCGTATCGACTGCGTCGCCGCGTCCATTCGCGGTCCAGGCTTCGGCTGTCCGGCGTCACTGAGTAAGGGATCGATGCAGTTACCAGTGTAGATATGAGAATAGTCAAGAGAGAATAGCTGGACAGCGTCATGCATACAGGTCTGACTTTGGGCGGGAGTCCAGGCACAGCGCACAGAATGAATAGCGAATACGGAGTACCTTACTGAGTAATACGGGATGATGGACAGCGAAAGATGCAGAGATGCAGAGATGATGGGACGACATCGGGGAAGGAGCAATCCCGTGTCAATGCATCGTCCGTTCTTTCCCCCCAAGTTCCCCCTGCGTCAGCCAAAGCGCTGGTCCGTCCAATGGGGGCGCTTCAGGTGCATGCATTGGCTGAGAGATCTTCAGGTCCTTGAGGAAGTTCAGGTGCCTTCCAGCATAAGTGGCAGCGCAAGTGGCAGCACAAGTGGAGGCGGCCCCAGCGGGCTGGCTGCTAATGCCAGGTACCTACCCGATGTATCTACATACTCATGCCTGGTTGTGCCTGGTGGTGCCTGGTTTTTTCCCCCATCCACTGCCACCTCAGGTTCCAACTTTGCCAGGCCCCAATTGCCAGGTATCCACGTATCGATTCAGCCCCGGAAAACAAACTTGGACACCTCGGTGGAGCCACTGCCCTGGAAGTCCAGTCTTCGAGTCTCCCCCGAGAGGTGTGCGGTGTGCTCTCACGTGATATACACACCCAAATGAGGTACCCAAGTACCCCGTACCCCCGGGCTCTCCTTAATTTCGTGACGTGCCAATACGACCGTCATTGTTTTCCTCCACTCTTTTCTTCTCTCTCTCCTCCTTCACTCCACTCCTCTTTTAACTGTGACTGCGACCCCCGTCTTCCCTCCTTGTGTGTTTTATAGACATCTTTGTCCCACCCGTTGTCGATTCCTCCTTTGGACCTGTTCACTCTTTCACTCTTCCCAGTCATTCTTTTTGGTCCACGACAACCACCAACTCACTACACTCTTTTGTTTATTATAGTCACAGCCAAAGAGTCTCTGAACAACGCAAAAAAGGTCTTTCCCAGTCCGCCCTTAATTACCACCCTGGGACCCTTTTTCCTCCGCTCGACGATTTTATTATTTCGACCGTTTTTTTAACACATTAATCCAATCAAAATGAAGGCCTCCATCTCTCTCGCTGCCCTCACTGCCCTGGCGGCCACCGTCGAGGCTCAGAACTACCTCGGCTTCAACTCTGGTGCCACCAAGGCCGACCGCTCCGCCAAGTTCAAGGCCGACTTCGAGGCCGAGTTCAAGACTGCCCAGGGCCTCGAGGGTGCCCCCGGTGACTTCAACGCTGTCCGCCTCTACACCAACATCCAGGCCTACTCCACCCAGGACCCCATTGAGGCTTTCGAGGCTGCCATCGAGACCAAGACCTACATCCTTCTCGGTATCTGGACTTCCGGCACCGACAACATTGACAAGGAGATCAACGCCCTGAAGACCGCCGTCACCAAGTACGGCACCAAGCTCACCGACCTCATCATCGGTGCCTCCATCGGTTCCGAGGACCTGTACCGCAACTCCGTCACCGGTGTCAAGAACAAGTCTGGTGTCGGTGCCGACCCCAAGACCCTCGTCGGCTTCATCGATGACTTCAAGACCGCCTTCAAGGACACCCCTCTGTCCAAGGTCTCCATCGGCCACGTCGACACCTGGGACGTCTGGGGAAACTCCACCAACAAGCCCGTCCTCGACGCCGTCGACTGGGTCGGTGTTGATGAGTACCCCTACTACGAGAACGACAAGGGCAACACCATCGACAACGCTGGTTCCCTTTTCGACAAGGCCTACGCTGCCACCGTCGCCACCGCTGGCGGCAAGCCCGTTTGGGTCACCGAGACCGGCTGGCCCGTCACCGGCGAGACTTGGGATGAGGCCGTTCCCAGCGCCAAGAACGCCCAGAAGTACTGGCAGGAGGTCGGTTGCCGCAAGCTCTTCAACAAGGTCCCCACCTTCTGGTACAACCTTCGCGACTCCAACCCCGACAACTCCATGAAGTTCGCCATCACCAAGGACCTGTCCACCACCCCTCTGTTCAACCTCACCTGCCCCACCACCTTCGACACCCCCTCCAGCACCAAGACCGCCTCTGCCTCCGGCACTGCCACCGCTAAGCCCAGCTCTTCCTCTGGCGCCAGCTCTGGCTCCGGCAACAGCACCAGCGGTGGCTCAGGCTCCGGCTCCGGCTCCGGCTCTGGAAGCGGCTCTGGCAGCGGTTCTAACTCGACCGTCTCCACTGCCGCTCCCTCTGCCACCTCCGGCTCCGGCTCCTCCGGCAGCGGATCCGGCTCTGGATCCAGCGCCAGCAGCACGCCCTCCGCCGTTGCTGGCTCTGGCGCCGCCGGCCTCCAGGCCTTCACCACCGGTGCTCTGGCCGTCGTTGCCGGCGCTTTCGCCCTCCTCTACTAAGAGGCGCGAGGAGAGTAGTGCACTCACTCGTCTTGTGGTCAAATTTTTCTAGCGCATTGGCAAGGTGTCTTTTGATTCCCCCTTCTGGACATGTGTTTTTTCGGTATCATAATCATGGATAGATCGAGGATAGACTGATGGAGAAAAAATGTGATTAATCCATACACTCATTATCATTTCAAATGCCCTGTGACTATCTGTGACATTTGATGATTGTCTTTTTTCTTTTGTGACATACTCGGAGCACATTTCAGTGTGTGAATATTTACTAGTGAGTGTTTACCAGGCTAATCGCGTCATACAGGGCTCGAGCTATTCCTCCCGAGCAAATGAACGATTCGGTTCGGTTAGCCTCAAGGTAGAGGTGTGCGGCGGGCCGCACGCCCATTGCCTGACCTTGATTTACGATGCAATTGGGCAAAGCGCGGTGGCAGCCAAGCCGGCCAAGAGGAGCCTCCCTCCCTCCCATCCACCCCCATGGTCACCACCACCACCCATTTGGCATCCCACCCCCCCAGACGTTGGGAAATGAGATGGTGCTGATCAATACCCACCCTCAAGGAGGCCGCACTTGGTTTAGAGCACTTGGGTCCGAGGGGAGCAAGTTGGCAGGCATACGAGGTCTGGACCGTCGAGCGGGCTCCGTTTCTCTCTTGGGTTCGTATTTCCTTCTCCCGGTCAGGGGATGTTCCCGTCCCCGCTGAGGAAGCGAGAGGAGACTGGAGAAGTTTGGAATTTGGCTATTCTGGAGGAGACAGACTGACTGACAAAGAAATTCGAGACTCGCGAGAGAGAACGGACTGTGTATTCGTCCAAGTTCACACTGATGCACAGTAAAGAGTGGGTATTGAGAGAGTGGACGAAAGGGGAAAAGCATTCCCACATATCCAGGCGCAGTGGCGAGCTAAATTTAGAGCTTTGACCCGAGTGAGAGAACTGGCAACATTTTCTGGAAACTGACGACGGGGAGAGACGGCTTCGAGTTCGGTGTCGCGCCGTCGGATGCCGTCGTTCGGCAGGCTTGGGATGTGCGTGTACTTATTTGCTCACTGGTGGTTATGCGGCTTTTCATACGAAGGCGAGACTTGTTGAGTTCTCAGCACCTACACGATTATGTCCACAAAGGATTTCTCCAATTGTCTGGCTCGCCGGCGGAGTGAATTCAGGTACGCGACGAATCATGATGCCGCGGTGCCTGGCGCTAGACGCAAGATGGATAACAAAGTTCAACGGCACAGGTTACCGACCGGATCAGGAAGAAGGAGAGAAAAATCTTGGAAGGGGGGTGAGCTGGGTGTGGAGAACGCGCGTCTGTTGTTCATTCTGATTTATGCATGTTCATCTCATTTGCTCGGAAAAGTCTGATTTGTTTACTTTAGACTTTGGCGTCAGTCAAGTCTGATCAGACCAGACGAAAAGAAACAACAAAGGAAATATGAATGACCGGTTTGATCAATAAAAGAGAGAAACTTGGCTTTTCTCGCTAAAGAGTCAATACTCAATAGTGTTGGAAAGGCGAGTGGCAGTGCATTGCGGTGGCCACGGGCATGCCCTGACCTTGTTGATGATCATCCAAGAATTCAAGATCCAAGGCCGGGTTTGCATGTCTAGTGCATACTGTACGATTGCCAGCGTCTCGGTAATTCAGTAAGCAGTCAATACTCGTTTTCCTTCTTAACTAGTCAATCTCGTTCGGGTATTTTTGGCAACTCTGTATTTCGGGGCGCGGCGGGACGAGTCTTTTGGCGTCTCTGCGGGCCTTGTTCTTGTGATGCAATTGAATGTCATTGTTTATGCCGGATAGCGGCACGATGAACATTCTACGCAGAAAGGTACTTTCTGAACTTCTGAAGTTGTGATGACCAGCTGATGAATAAGGACAGGGCTTTGCGTCGTGTGTGCATTCCTCAAGTGCCTCACTTGCGTATACCAATCACCAACGGCGTTTCGATTTTTGCGTGTTTTATGCCAAGACATTTCCCCTAATTTGTGCATTTGGCATGTTGTGAACCGGCTGGCGGCTTGGCGGGTAGATTGGCGGAAAGCATCTCCCATCCCCCATCCGTCGGGTCTCAGCCGCACCGCAACGGACCAACGGTTTTTTGTCAACCAAACGTCGTCACGAACTTTCTTCGACGTCATTGACCGCACCCCAAGTGAGTTGATGGTTCAGGATGTATGTGAGGTTGTCGCGATATCCGAGATGTGGTAGTGGAGCACACTCACACAGCCTGCTGCGGTCGCGAAACACCGAATGTTCTACAGAGGCCGCCCGCTGGCATAAACGCAGCTTTTTTGCACCACAACGCTGCGCTCAGGTTTTTCCTAGGACGGCCGCGGGCCTCGACGGGATGCCGAAGATTCTTCCCGCGCGCTTCCGGAGCCGCCGCGTCAACGCCATCGTACTGGTACTGTCACCTCCTACACTTTTCACATTGCATGTTCACATGCTCTCCTCTTCCACCCGCCGGTGGATCACTTCTCACCCGGCTCCATAGCCCTGACAAAACCCGCCCACACGCACACAAAACTTCTACTCGCCCACGAGTCACAACCACCCGTTGGCATATCAGCAGCTTGCCCGGCTCCCACCGGCATCCGCAATCGCATCGAGGACCTGCCTCGGAGCGAGCATCGTTACGGAAGGGTGGCCGAGTTGGTTATGGCGCCAGGTTAAGGTCAGCTTAACATCTGTTTCCTGGTGGGGCAACCCGCGCGAGTTCGAGTCTCGTCCCTTTCATTTTTCGAGTTTTGGCAGTTCATGACATGTTTTGAGTGCATGAGTACTCATCCATGAGTCTACTGCGAGATTATGCGAAAACCAAAGATCAGACAAC